AGGCTGCAGGGGGGGGGGCATCAGTGTGTGGGCAATGTAGGTTCAGAGGTGTAATACTAACATTCCTGTGCATACATTGTATGGAACTGTACAGGGTAGGTAATCTTTTCTGTTGGTGCTGCAGTGTCAACTGAGACTGCAAGGGGGCATCATTGCTATGTAAACCTTGCTCATTATCAAATACTTTATAAAAAAAAAATTATATAACATAGCTTTTATTGACACAGAAAAAATTACATTGAAGGAGACTACGAGAACAAGACTAGCTATTTCCATTGAGTGAACATAGATTGTACACATTCTTGTGACATACCAAAAACAAATAATTCGCACATGACAATAATGTCACTCATATGCTGTTATCAGTGATATTTTCTAGTAAATTAATACTATAGATTAGTCTTGTAGTATTGTCGTTGCCATACATTGTACATGTACCATGCAATAAAGTTCATTCATTCTTTATGCTATTTACCACCTGTAGCCACTGGTGCATGGAGTTCCCCTACACTTCACAGTTCATGCCTGTAACACTGGGGGAGGCTGTTCCACCGCCACATGCAGTCTTCCTACCTTAGATAACACCTTACCCAGTGGGAGAGTAGATGTGGAATATCTGTCAACCAGGTAAGCAAGTTTACCATGACCATTGCCTCTGTTAATGGATGTTTTGTTTTCCGTTCATCATTTTCAGTTTTCATTTGAATACAAAAGAGTCACACAAAGTGAGGGGGAAATGGTGTAACCACAGACTAACAGCAAGGCAGTATTAAAAAAAAATTTACGGCTCTCAGTGGCCAATATGAGATCACATCGGCGCACCAAATCCGTAAGTTTTTGGCACCCCGACAGACAGATTAGTCTATAAGAGGCTCGGTGGGCGTCACTCCACCGTATAGGTGGGGAAGTCGTGTAAAGTGCATTTCCCAAGGGCACAACGTGGGGCAGTATTATGGAATGAAAAATATGGTCTAAAAGACAGCAAAGCGCAATCATGTAAGTCTGAAAAAAATTCATAATGGAACTATATGCGCAGTATATTCTTGAAGAAAATTGTTGACTTTTCATTAATCGAAGCAGCCTGGCCAGGCCCCGGCTTGGAAATGTGACCTCAGCATAAAGGACTAGGGCATTGGTTGAAATGTTCACATTTTGTAACTTTGTGAACTCAACATTTTTCTTCAACTGTCTCCAAACTGTAATGATATCATAATACATGTAGAACAAGGTATTGACTATTTCAGAGGTCAATATTTCAGAAATATTGGATGAAATTCTTTCTTCTTTTATCAGTAATCCACAGAAGTTGAGTGCTACTGCCAAACTGTTTGATGACTCCGAGCTGACAGCACAGAGAGTAGGCCTGGGCCTGGGACATGGAGTGTGGGGGGACCAGGTAACTCCCTGGCAGGAGTTCACCCTCACTAGGGAGACTACAACTCAAGGTTAGATGTTTGTTTTCTTCAATTTATCAATCAATGAACAAACCAACTAATCCCTCTTTCTCTTAATCATTCACTCACTAAAACATAGTATTCTTCATTCATTCTCTCATTCTTTCAATCATTCACATTTCTTCATTCCTTCAATTTAAATTGTTTTCAACAAGACAATTCAGTTTTTATGGTAATGCAAAATGACTTGGATGAGAATTTTCCTTATTTTGAAAAAATTAAAGCAGCTAATACTAGTATTTAATTTGAAACATGCTTTCCAAGAACTGACATCTTAATTTCTGGATTGTACAACTGTACAGTAATTTTTTAGGTACAATGTACATTCAATTGTTACTGTAATACAAGATATTTCTGCTTGTATACAATGTAGCTTATATTTGGTAGCTTGTCAAATGGACCAATCATATGAGGTTATAAATGATTAAATTTGTCTTTGCAGGGGGTCTGGCTTCCTTTACCCCTGGGAGGATGGGTCGTCTTGCTGCAGAGCCCTTCAAGTTTATCCCAGGTAACGGTGTAGCCACTTCCAGCCCTGAGTCTTGTGCTGCAGAGTGTCTGAAGTACTTACCTACACAGTGTAAGGGATTCAACTTCGACTACGGAAAAACCAAGGATTGCGAGCTGAATGGACAAGCAGAGTCAATGGCAGCAAAGGGTGGTGCTCAAATAGAAATTGTAAGTAGTTGGAGACTTTTTTTTATTCATATATCCATTGGCAAGCAATACAATATTACATACACTGAACCATATATTACAGAATAATTCAAATCATAACAAATCCTTGATCATAACAATAAGCACAACAATAATTCAAATCATACCAAATCATTGATCATAACAAGTGTCATAACAATAAGTTCAAATCTTAACAAATCATTCATCAAATCCATTGTCATAACAATAGTTCAAAATATTAGTTCAAATCCTTAGTTGAAGACTTTGTTTCTCTTACACTTATTCCAAATGAAGATGAAGCAGAAAAGGCAGAATGAAAAATTGGCAAAACCATACCACACTTATGTCTAGGTGTATTGTTACAGTAGCATATCGCATTGGCTGCCACCACCTATGAAGTATAAGATATAATGGCAATGATGTCTGAACAGTTTTTAATAAGATCCATACTTCCTAAATTCTGAGTGATGCAGGTAAAATTTGTCTGGTGCAGGTAATTTCAACAGCGCAGGTTTGCAGAAAAAAGTATTGCAAGCGCTAACATGCACAACACTTGTCTTTATTTTCTGCAGTCTGGCCGGATGCATTACTTTGAGAGGTTTGGATTTGGCCACAATGCGTACTTCCTTCACGAGGGGCTGGCATTGGAAGACAACAGCCTGTATTTCTTCAACGTGGAGTCGGACAACTTCATAGGATACACTGGTGAAATATCATCACAGGTAGGCCATTACTTGTCCCAACAGGTACTTCTACATGTAGATAGAGTTGGTTGTGGGTTTGCATGTATGTTTAGCTGGGCAGAGTACATGTAGGTTGACAGAACATGGGTGGGAGAAGATTAATAGGCAGAATGACAGGTGGTCAGAAGGTCAGACACAGAAAATGGGGTGAATTTGAAAGTTCCAAAACCTGAGTCAACATAGAGGGATTCGGAATGCCAAGGATTGTATGAGTAGTTCCCCAAACCTGTACAGGTTTAGTCCTAGTCCCAACTTAAGTATGTTAATATACAATCCCCTTGGAGCATCAGAGCTTCTGACTGGAGTTCTGCTTCTCACTGCTACATGTATATGTAGCATGGAAGTGGCGTTTTTTGTGGCAAAAACACAATTCCAAACATGGCTAAGTTTGTATCCCCCCTTGGCCCGGTTCATCATTGAGGTTGACTTTTTCAAACCAATTAATATTCTCCTTGATCCATTGGTCCACTATCCTCTCTGTCTATTACCGGTATACCTTGGCCCCTTCCCAGTCCACTAGCACAGTTGTGTTCTCGCTGCAATAAGCGCCACCTACAATGGCTACATTGTACATGTAGTCACAAGACGAACTCTTCCTCTAGTCAGAAGCTCTGACTAGAGGAAGATGTCTGACAGGCGTTAAAACACAAGCAGGAAATTTTTGAGATTGCTCTAATAAATTCCCTAAAACCCAAAAAACTTTTGAGAAGTCTGAAATTTGGATTGTTTGTTGTGACAGGGAATCCTGACGGATTTTACCCACCCTGACCCCGGGTACCTGGGTTCGAACCCAGGACAGGAGGAGTTCTTGTTTGACACCTGTGAAGACCTGATGTTGGACGGCTGGGAGCAGGACAGGTGTGCCAGCGAGGCAGACAAGACAAACCTGCCTCAGCACAGGTGAGTTACCTGTTTATCATGCAGCACCTGTATCTGTATCTGTATAGCCAGTATAACCGCCCTTCGGCGTAACACACCAGCTTCTGTATCTGTATAGCCGGTATAACCGCCTTTGGTGTAACACACCAGCTTCTGTATCTGTATAGCCGGTATAACCGCCCTTCGGCGTAACACACCATCTTCGCAGGCACGCGGCGCGGCGGCAGATACATGTAGCTATATCACACCGAACGGCTTGTTACACTCAATCTTTGCACATTTGATTGCATTTGATTGTTGTTTAAAGCTTTCTAGTGATGATGCCCCAACTGTGCTTGGTGCAGGTGGCAACGAGTTCCAGTCTACGATAGTTCTGTGGAAATACAAGTTTTTGAATACCTCAATTCTTGGTTGATTCTACACCTGAGGTGTAATAGAGACTGATTAGTTATTCACAAAACAGGTAGCAAGTGAAGTTAGCACATATATAAATAAAGCACTGTATAAGCCAGAGTCTAAATTTACACCACTAAACCCATAGGTCAACAACTATATGCGACCTAAACATCACATCCACAGACTGTCCAGGGCCAAAGGTATTTAGAAAAATTCCTACTGCAGTACCAAGGTCAATCGCCAGGTGCCCAAAATCAATCTACACAATCCTATTTCACCCCACCTACCCACCTGCTAAGTACCATCTCATTCTGTGGAACAGATCTTGAGATATACACCCAAACATCATCCAGACAAAAAACAGTACCTGTCCAATTTTATGATATGATAATTGTGTCACACTCACAGTAATCAAAATAAAACTATGGACAGTTGTTGGAATTGGCAATACTCTTTAATTCCCATCATTACTGGACCACAATGGCTTATAGTAGCACGTCGACAGAACGTACTGCACCTGCACGAAAACCGTAATGTATTGTACATAGAATTTCGGCAGAACGTCTCATATAAGGTTGTATTTGCTCATATAAGGTTAGCATTTCGACAATAGTTTCCAAATGTTGTGTCGGAAAGAATATCCTCTGCAATAGGAAAAATTCTGATGCAACATTGACCAAAAACCCAACGAAAAAAGTGAAAATACAGGGTTCTGCGCAGGCGCAGTACGTTCTGCTGACTTGCTGCTTATAGTGTAGGTCAACTTAATTGAATTATGATTAAATGTTGATTTACAAATGTAATTTTTTTCAGGCTTATTTATGGTGATGTAGATGGGACGACTGTGTTTAACGGCATGAGGATGACAGTTGGAACCTACTACACCAGAGCAAACACCTTCATTGCAGGTATGCACAAACCATTTTTTTAAACTTTGAAACTTTATTCACACACCTTCTTGCAGACAATAAGTATGAATTGACAGGCATTTACAATGAAATAGATTAAAAACGCTAAGGAGTTAAAATAGACAATGAATCAATTCGGTTCAAAATCAATAAATATAAGTGTGATAAAACTTGTATAGTCTTCTATATATAATACAATTCATGAGGTCACATCGGTATTTACAGATTGTCAGTTAAAGTGTTTGTTCAGCAAGTTTGTCATGTAAGGTATCGCAGAGTTTTTGTAGCGAGTTGTTCTACAGATGGGAGTGTCCAGTTTGTTAGCACTACGTGTGTTTCTGCCAGATATCTGTTTACGGGATGGGGGTAACCAGTCACTGAATTCAGAGTTGAGGAGTTTCTTGGCGAAGGATTAATATATTATTATTAATATCATATCATTTGCTCTCACTATGAAGATGTGTTGAGCTTCTGATCAAATTTGTGAAACTTTTTTATTCCATGTCATAATTATGTTAACATCACAAAATTATTGTCAGTGATACATGTATTGCAATTATTCTGAGTAGAAAAAGAAAGATTTGAAAAATATACATGTACGTTTTGCATTTCCAAAATTGCATTGGGAACGGTGGGCTAGCGAAAACAGATCTATGTGGTGATCACACTCTGAAGCACTGTCCTGCCACTTGCTACATAATGTTACTAGATAGAATCTTGCTGCCAAATGTGTCAGTAGGCACAGGAGGACCTAAGGTCTAAGGAATCCACCAGAGGGTGTCTGCTACAGCACCAATTATAATGGTAACAGCCATTTGGTCCAGATCATTAACCTTTTTTTGTTTGGAGATGAAGATCTAAACAAAGAGGGCATTATCATGAATTTTTTTTATTTGTTTCCAGCCAACTGGGATGGGTTCCATGATGACAACACTGGTCTGTATGGGTACAGCTGGGCCGTAGGGCTGGAGCCAGGACAGGACCTGATACATCCTCACATCGACCCTCATGCACACCTGTATGATGCCAGCGAGTGGACGCATGCAGGCGGCATCTTCCCCATACCACCCATACCTGGATATCCTGATGGGATCTTACTGGGTGAGGAACCTTCAGTATGCTAGGGTTACCCTTTTGGCACCAAATGTTATATTAGTTATGGGATTTGGCAGCAGGGAAAAGTTTAATCTGTAGGCATAGTTAACCAAAATAAATTTTTATATTGTATATAATATAGGACAGTTGACATTATTGCTATCTTTCCAAAATACTCATTCTTATATATAGTTATTACAAATTTAAGCTTTTATTAATCCATATTTTCCTGGACAAACTTGTTTCTGATATGCCCTTAGATAAACTTCAAGATAAATAATGCCAAGAGCAGTTTGCCAATTTTATTTTGCTTTTAGTCCATAGTTTGAAAACAGTACAGTCATAGAAAGTGAGGGGGAATTATGTAACCGCAGACTGATACAATTGATGGAATTGGAGGTCCAAAAAGTCTTTCTGCAAGCTGGGAGGAAGTGGCAGTGAAGTACGCATAGAATCAGCCAGAAATTCACAGCATGAATCGAACAAGAAAACACAACACTAAGTACTTAACAATAACAGAGGTGTAGAATCTTCAATTTCGTGTTATGCTTTGTTTCAGATGGAAAGTATTACGTCACTGTCAGAGCCATCAACGACGTGGCCTTCGGAGGTGCTCTGATCACCAGCGTGTGCCACACCGCACCTTACGGCATCGACAACACTCCTCCTGACTTCCATGATATCACAGAGGTCACTTTTACAGAAGATGAGGAACTCTATGTTGCTTACAATGCAAGGTATTACCTTTTAAGTTCATTGGGCATACATTGTGTACATGTTGTTGTATCTTCATCTTCAGGTATGGAAGTATTTTTTTTCCAACATGTAATCACCAGACGTGGTGACGGCACACTCAAGTTTTTTCAACTTATAATTTAATGCCGCCACCAACACGGGACAAATACATGACAGGACAATACTCATTTACACCTGAGCTAAGTGAGGAAAGCCCTGTAAAGTGCCTTTCCCAAGGGCACAAGATCGGTGGCATGTCAGGACTCGAACCCGGGACTCTAAGTTCCTAGTCGCGTATTCTGCCGCTACGCTACATGACCCCACGGAAGTATTGTTTTGGGTAGCTGAATTGTGGGTTTATGAGTCTGCTTGTCCAAGTAGTTGTATTGAGGGTGGAAGGTAATTTTGCCAATTTTAATGATAAAGATGTCAAGCCTGAAGGGCAGCCAACACTCACCAGGTACTAGTAGTAGTAAGTGGGCAGTAATCGGAGGAATTCAGGAACAGGTGCAGTACTGATTAAATTACACCACACAATTAAATTACATCCTACAATCCCCTCCACAGACCCAAGTCATTCCTGAAAACCCAAAACACTTCAGAGAGGATTGTGAACTTGAAAGTCACAAAAAAAAGAAAAGGCTGCAGTACAAAGAACCAAAAATTGTTGAGGCTTCTTTGCATTGGAAGTTAAGCTGTTTACTTGATTGTGTAATAATTATAGTGGTTTCTGTAAATGTTGCCAACTCTGTCCTGTGCACAGTGATCTCCAGTCAGACATCAGAGAGGCAGATATTGGCCTGGGCTTGACCAAGTTTGACGTTCTTGTGATGGACTGGGTGCGTCATAACTACACCGGCGTTCACGAGGAAGGGATAGCCGGGAGCTGGACAGGAGAACTGACCACTGAGGAGGAAGGCGTGCCATTCTGGCCCAAACTGAGAGTCATCAATGGAGGTCAGTGGTCTTTCTTTCTACTGTACACATTCAAATTTTTCTTGGTATATTTTGTTTACTTTATGTGATCTCTTACATTTCTTGCCTCAACTCGCTTCCCCTCCAAATAATTCCTACATGTACAGTTTTTTTTTCAATTTAATGTTACAGTCACCTTTCCAAACCAAATTGCCCCACCTAGTAGTTAACAGGACTTTCCACTTCTGTTGGATACATTGGGACTCTTAGCAAATAAAGGGCTATTTTTGCAGCTTTAGCAGGCCATCCATTGATTTTGATTTGCTTGTAGAGTCATGCAAGTGAAAAAAAAAGTCTGTAAAGTGCATCTAGATATTTTAACAGAGGCCCTGTCCTCCTCCGTCAAAACATCTAGTTCATGCAAACTGAAAAGATAAAAATACAATGAATATGTTTCATAGACCCACAGCAACCCTCTAAAAGTTAATTGCCATTTTCATTAATTTGGTTGATCTGCTAATTGTGATGTCAGTCAGGATTGATATATATATTATATATTTTCAAAGTTATATGTTCCTACAGCTGATAGAACTTTCAATATCCTTGTGAATGTTTAGTTGATCTGAGAGGGATGGGAGTGTCTGATTTCCCCATTGTCATGGACAACACACCGCCCATTGCCGGGGTTGTGTATGATGGGTACCAGTATGGCAAGGACCTCAACTGGACTATGGAACAGAATGAGGTATGCATAGTAGGGAAGATACGTCAGGGTTGTACAGTTGAGTCAAATACACTGACACACAAGCATGTGGATACACACACGTGCGCCCGCACACACACACACACATATTTTATTATATTAACATAGTGCGTGCACTCACAAGCTTGCATGTACAAGCACATACACAAGCACAATCTTACTGTTGCACAGTCACACATGATGATATACACATACATGTACATGTACATGTACATGTACACACACATTAAGTCACACAAACACACAGTCAAAATACATGTTCATACTTACGTATATTATGATAAATTGACCGTGGCATTTCATGTTGGAAACCATATTCAATATATATTGTCAATCTAGACTACATAGGAATGAAACAATAAATATTTTTGTGATGTCAAAGCTGATTCCTAAAAGTATTCCTCTGTATCATTTGGATTTAAGAATTGATGAATTTGGCAAATGGTACTGACAAGTACTGACAATTTTCCCAAATCTACCTTTTTTTCAGGTTTGTGCAAACTGGAAGGACTTCTATGACCCTGAATCTGGCATCAGTAAGTACATGTGGGGCGTGGGCAGCTTCCCAGGTGGATATGACCTGGTGAACCTGACCAAGTTCAGCAACAGGGCCCACCAAACCTGCATGCAATTGGACGAGCCCCTGGTCCACAACTCCATGTATTACAACATGCTGATTGCCTACCACGGAGGGTTTAAAAAGCTGAGTGTTACTGCAGTCAGCAACGGAGGTAAGTTTCAATGGTTTACGGTCTTAATTGCCAATTGTAGTTGTAACTATAGAATCTTCTTAATCATCAGCACACTAAACAAGCCATATCAAATACCAATATGCTATTGTAGGGAGAATTTGATGCATATTAAATTAACCATTTTCCTATATACATGTATATTGATATATCCTCTCATGACCAGGTAGATAACAGATTAATTCTTAACCCTTTCAACACTGAAGTAACGATTTAGGTATCGGTTTAGAGGTAAGGCAGTGGAAAAAATGTTAACCATTTTCCTACCTTCCTGTCACAGCCCGGGTAGACCTGACCCCACCAGAAGCTGGCTGGATTGTAGACGGAACCAGTGAAGAACTAGATGCAAACGGTATCCCTGTGGACGAAGAGTTTACTTCGGAGCAGGCCATTGTTGGCGCCACGTGGGGAGACTTTGTTGACCCCGAGTCAGGCATTGATGAATTCATGGTGTCTGTGTACAGGAGGCAGAGGGATAGGTGAGTAAATGTACAAGGTATTTAGTTTGTAGTCCGTCTTTTGAATAGTGATTCTGTGAATTAAAACTTATTAATAATGAAAATTGTTCTTAATTTCATTATTACACTGTGTGTATAATATACTGGATGTTGATTTCTGCTGATGATTTATAATTTATGGGTACGGATTCTGTATTGTTTTGGGTGGTAGAGTTTATAGGTTTGTCTGCCCACATAGGTTCCATTGCATAGTGGGTGGGAGGTGATTTTGACAGTTGATAGGGTCACACCTTATGGTAACCAAGCACATGCTGGCTGGGAGAAAGTGGGTGGTATGAGAAGTGGTGTATTGCCTGATTGAGTTACATCATACATACATCATACTGTGCATTGGAAGGCCACAAAACCTCCAAAATACTCTGAAATATTTCCCGTTTCTTTATTGTTCAGCAGGTTAATGTACAACCACCCTGAAGTGTTATAAAGTATTTTATACCAGCTTCTCTCATTCACTTGTTGACATGCGAAATTTTCTTCCTTTTTCCAGTGATGGTAACTATGGAGACGACCAGCTGATACACGGGCCTGATGACATTGATAAGGACGAGGGGTCGGTGGTGTTTTACCACTTCCATCTCCTCCACGGTAATGTGACCTGCTGAGGTCTTCCTTTACTACTGACAGTGTCAGATAATCACATTACTTATAATACATGATGGAAAAAACCTGCACATACAGACTTAGTCCTGTAGCCATTTGATTTGCTAATCCAATGCGTTAGGACATGGTAGTGGAAGGTGAAGCCCATCATTTTTAACCTCACTAACCAAAGTCAGGTACGTATTTTACACCTGTGTGGAGTGAAAAAAGTTGTGTGAAGTGCCTTTTCCAAGGAAAAGTCCACAACGCCCAGCCAGGAATGCTGGGATTGATCCCCTATCTTTTTTTATCTTGTGTCCACTTGCCTAGTAACTCAGACATTTGGCATCACACCATCATTACTAAGTTTGTAATCATACAAAACATCTTTGAAATGATTTTCATGGAAAAATATTGTGTAATTTTTCTTTGTTTCAATTTTACAGCTGACATTGTCACCACAAAGTTGACAGCCATCAATGTAGCGGGAGGTGTGACAGAAGCTCTGACTGACAGCTTCATCGTGGACCTGACTCCTCCTGTGTTTAACTACCTGGTGGACATCTGGGACGGGGATAACTCTAACCCTCCTGTGGACAGGGACTACCAGGTAGACATCAGCCATTGCTTGTTAAATCACGTTTCCTGTCGGCTCGCAGATTGGACGGATGTTCCCCCATCCGTAACACCTCTCTTATTAGTTCTCACTTCTTACCCCCTACCTACCCTCCGACTCCATTCATCGTTGCCACTTCTTGTGAGCGGTGGCATGTGCAGGACTACCCTACCTATGTGTCTGTCCATTTTGTGGACAGAAAACTTAGTGCTCTTCGGAGTTTATGAAGAAGAGAAGGCTGGTTACTTTCGTGCGGGGTTGGGTTGCTGAGCTGTGGGTTTGTTTGTCTGTTTGTCCAGACTGAGTTTAGGTAGAAGAGGGTGGGGGAAGATAAGTTACAAAGTTGGGGTAATTAAACAAAAAAAAACAACATATAGTGAACATGATACAGTAACTGTACATTACTTTTAAATTACTGGACTACTGTCAAGTTGCCTAGGAAAATAAAAAAAAACAGTATAACCAGATTCAGTCAACTATTATTTTGAATTCAAAAAGTTCAAAGCTTACAACTGGTCTTCTTATACTGCATGCTGGAAATAAACAAGGAGGTTCAATACAAGATTTTAAACCTCCTTGAAATAAGCCTACTCAGCTGCATTGTAAAATTTGCATTTTATGTAGTTACTGTAGCTTGCATGTACCTCGAATTCATTTTTCACTCTCATTTTGAAATCGTAATTTGTGAACCACTTGCAGACAACACAAAACTCCCTGTCATCGAGTTGGAGCTACCAGGATGCTGAATCTGGACTGGACCACTTCAAGCTGGCCATCTTTGAGACCTTCCATGGAACCAGACAACAGATTGTACCAAGTAAACCTACCGTTTTTACTCATAAAATACTGAAGATATCCTGGTTTTGGATCAGAATGAAATCATCATATGCATGGTACAAGCTGTGTAACATTAAAATGTCCTATGAGGAATTTCATACTAACATAATTATAACCATAATTTATAATAATAATGGTTTACCTTGTACACAGAATATCTGATGGATTATCAGTTTTTTATCGCAATATTAGGGACCATTGGTCATTATACTCCCTGGCTCTTAAATATTAAAAGTGATTGATCATTCAAACCTGAAGAAGGCTATAGAGACAATCTTTTGCTATCTCCAGGAGTTATATGTATTGTTTTGTGACTTTGTACATGTATTCTTGTGTTGCTACTACATGTATTTGAATGAATCTAAGACTGTGGCGGAATGGAGGGATTGATTATCACAGATTGACCACCAGGTCAATTTGGAAGGAAGTGTTAAAGGCTAGAAGTTTTAGTTTGAAGTGCTCTACTCAGTCAAAATTCAACCTGCTCTGTTTTTGTTCCTCTTCACACAGATAACGAGGCCTTTAAGCTGCTGTACCCAGCAAGCCTGACCCGGCACACGGAGACAGGACTGAGTCTGTCTGCAGGAGCCATGTACCAGACCAGGATCGGGGCGGTGAACAGAGCCACGCTGACGTCTATCTACCAGACAGATGGAAATGTCATCGACCCTTCTCCTCCTGCTGTAAGTTTCTCTTCTTTTAAACTTTTTTAAAATGTTGAACAGTTTAAAGCCTGTCCCCATTTCAGTAGTATGAAGCAGATTCAACTTTAAAGCAGTTTATTAAGCCTGTCCCCATTTCAGTCGTATGAAGCAGTTTGACAGACTCTCTTCTGAATTAGGATAATATTATTGCTAGAAAACAAAAAAAGAATCCCAATGTACAGCCTCATCTGCTGTATTATATTTGTATTTGGGAGAACAAAAAGTACAACTATTAAAAGCTACGATTCAGGATCCATTAGCTGCTGGTAGTGCAATTTCAAGTGGCAAAATACCAGAGGTACATGTCTGTAAACAAAAATGATCAAAGGGTTAATATCATTAGTACAGAAGTGTTATGTTGGGTGACTGAGCTGTGGATTTGTGTATACATGTAAATTCTTCAGACAGAATAGGTTGACACCATGTGGAGGGATGATTGACAGGCAGAATCACAGCAGGTCAAAGGTCTCAGAATCTGGCCAGTTGCCAGCAGGAATTAGAGCTCAACATGGAGGAATTCAGGAAGCCAAGGATAGTGTACTTCCCGGTCGTTGGAAGTCGCAGATTTCTTGTTTTGTTAGCGCTTTGCATAACTGTCGCTTTGTTGTCAAATTCAACCTACAGATGCAGTACCTGCGTGTGGGTGTACTTGACGGAAGTGCGGAGGAGAAGATAGACGGTTATGTGTATCAGTCAGACCCTAACGGTATCCAGGCCTCTTGGCTAGCTGTGGATGGAGAGAGTGGGGTACAGGATTACTGGGTCTCTGTCGGCACAAGTGCTGGTGAGTCTATAGATGTTTTTACTTCTGGGCACAGAAGTATTGTTTTGAGTGGCAGTCAGTTGGTTTCTCTGCCCTTATCATCCCCCTGTTGTTTCATGGGTGGGCAATGATTTTGACAGATGATTGACAGAAGTATCAAATGTAAGTGGGCAGTATTATGGAGGAATTGAGGAAGTGGTGTAATACTGAATTGAATTACATCATACAATCCCTCCAAAGTGCCAATATATAAAATTATGTAAAGTTTGTTTTGCGAATTCATGCCCGAAGGCTAATTGCAACATACAATGTATAATGTGTACAACTTACATAAAAGAAAAACAAGTTTCTATTCTATTCAAAACAAGTGACTCTTCTATTCAAAATACAATCTAAGCTTATAAGATATACAGTATATAATCACAAAACCCCCAAATGCTCCTCAGATGTCTAAAATCCCTGATGATTGTTTTTTTTTTCAGGTGCTGATAATATCCTGCCGTTTACAAACATGGGCTCAGAACGTGCAGGCTATATCAGTGGTCTGACCCTCCCTCTTACGGACTGGAACACCAACACTCCGCTTTACTACGTCACTGCCAAGGCACGGAACGGCGCCGGGTCTTTCTCCACTACGATCACGTCTACGCCCATATTTGTCGTAGACCAGGACAGGGCCGGTTACGTCACAGACGGCCCTGAAGAGAACACGGATCTGGACTATCAGAGAACCAAAAATATCCTCACTGGACACTTCTCAGGTAAATAGTGCTTTTCATGCATCATGTTGCAATTTTATGACAGGAGGGATTTAGGCTCCTGTTCAACCACATTGTATTAATGTGTTTGAGTAATAATGTGTTTGTCACAACAAAACAGACCATCTGCGAAGGTAAACATTATGCATTTGCTTTGCAAATGTTACCTTTCTAATTTTTTTTTGTTCTGTTTTGCTGCCCTGCATGAAATTGCATTGGATGCCTCTAATTTGTGCTGATGATGCATTCTATTAATCCATTAGGTTTTGAGAGCCAGTTACATGGAATTGTGCACTACCTGTGGGCTGTGGGGACCTCCAGTGGGGAGGACGATGTTCAACCCTTCCTGTCTGCTGGGATCATCCTCAAACCTGAGGACCAAGTCAGGGGAGGAGGTCAGCCTTCATTCATGGATAAATAGTCTCTGATCAATTACATGTGTCTTCTGTGATTTAGCTCGCAATAGATATTGTTGAGTTTCTCAATACAGTCTACCATCTATCATACTGTACATGTATATAGTACATAAACAGAAAGTAGATTAGAATCTAATATGACAAATAGTAGACCAATTTACCAAGAGGCTTTTTTCTTTCATTGAACACAATTTAATGCCCTTGTTTGCCCTTAATGCACTGGATAAAGAAAACCAACAATGAAATGTAAAGGTCAACACAGCCTTACAAAACTAAGCCATAGAATAGTTATTACACAAAAATGTAGTACGAAAATTACTTTTTTTAGCAATGCCACACAAGGTATCAATCTACTCTTGCAGCCAAAGTGCAGTTCTTTGCCGCCAATCAAATTGTAGTTTCTATTCTTTGCAGCCAATCAAAGTGCAGTTTAGATTCTTAACAGCCAATCAAAATGCAATATAGATTCTTTGCAAAGTAGAGTTTCAATTTGAATGTCTTCTCTTAAAAAGGACTGGGTGGCAGTGGCAAGGCGAGAGCTATCCTGTCCCTGAACTGTGGAGTGACGTACTACCTGACGGTACGAGCCATCACAGGGTTCGGTAACCTCCTGGAGACCTACTCAGACGGTATTCTCATCGACTGCACTCCTCCTACTGTGGACATCACCAGTATTGGGATTGTGCCTGTTGGTGAAGACTCGGTATGTTGATGGCTGAAAGAGAACACAAGACGATTGTACATTAAAAGCTTATCACACCACATATATTAGTCTACAATCATGTATACGTACATGTGGTACAGGTCGATTTTCAATATACAGAAAATAAAGTACAAGCAAAGCAACACAAAGACAAGAAATAGACACAAGAAAAACGCAATTTCAGAACTATGAGAAGTGTTTTGTGAGCATATTTAACTTGGAGCTGTGGAGATGATTTTATGATCGCGTAGTACAGGTACACCACTTCCTGAATTCCTCCACATTCCACACATGTAAACTCACACCCAGCACACGGTGGATCGCCTTTAGGTTGAGATCCATGTCAATCAATAAAAAAATCGACCAATAATTCTCCCTGCAGCTACATGTATCTCAGCTTGTCTGCTTGACAAGCATACACACAAACCCACAGCCAAACCTATCCAAAACCATACCTCCATACCCAGAGGCAACAAGATATGAGTGTTGACATGCTTGCCGTTCTTTGCTATTGTTCTTACAGAGCTTGGCCCCTGGTACAAACCGTTACCAGTTGACCTCAGGCTTCATCAGTGCAGCCTATGATGTCGCCGACGACAACTGTCCGGTCAGTTCCGGCTGGTACCAGTTTGGTACGACACCCTACGGCAGCGACATCCTGTCGGCAACGTCTTTTAACCCTGCGTACAGAAGCAACAAGGCTGGTGTTAGACCTGCTGCTCCAGGTACTGTTCTTCTTATATGTGCTTGTTTGATGTTTAAATATATACTGTATTATTAATGGTGCTTGCAGAAGACTTCAATGGATATAAAATGTGTTTCATTAAAGTATTGTCCTTGGTGCTGAAATATCTGTAGCTGTTGTGTTTTAATGAAAATCATGTTGACCACTGGAAATTGTAATGACAGTATTGTTAGACACTTCCTTTTAGATGAAACAAGTCTGTGGATTAATTTCTTTCATAACAGCAATTTTAAAAATTGCTTTCTTCGAAATTGCCTCCTCTATAGCTGTCTTTTAAAGATGTGGTTTTGAGCTTTTGTTTGGCAAATTTAAGATTCGTGTTTTTTTAGAACTCGGTTGAAGTTTGACAAGATGTTGAAGACTGTATATCTACGAATATTTTGCTCATTTCTCCGCAGGTGTTCCCAACATTCTGACTGTGTATGGTAGTAATGTGGCTGGACTTACCAACAGTGCCCAGAGTGGCAGTGTGGTGATAGACTACACCCCTCCTGTTGTTGGCACCGTGAATTGCCCATCCTACATGTCAGGTAAGGTTCTGGGCTTTATACATACTATTAGACACTCAGATGATGTTGACCAATCAGGAACCCCCATTTTAAATTCATTAAGAGGCCTTGATATCATTGGTCAGTAATTAATTCAGTCAAAAACCTCCCGTTCTTTTAAGCTGTGAAATAAAGCCATTGCAAACTTTAAGTCTTACATTAAGTTACAGTAAGGAAGTACTGTCTCCACAGTTGATAGCTTTATATTTAAAGTTACAGTTTGGCTGTGTTTTTTGTCAATAGATTGACTTTTCTAAGTTGATGTAACATCGTGTTTCAGCTGCCACTGAGCTTCAGTGTAGCTGGCAGTTCTTCCTGGAGTCTGAGAGCAACATCGTCAGCTATGACTTCAAGATTGGAACCAAACAGGGCCTGGACGACACTTTTGCTGCAGTGTCTCTGGATGGGTACCGGTCAGAGTACAGAGCCACAGGTGGGAACTTGCCTATATAGTAAACAACCATCATCTTAGCAAAATTACAAATACCCAAATATAACTAGGTTTACAAATGAAAAATATTAGATCTACAGGCACTGTAACAATGAGATTTAAGTCAAAATTCAAAATGATTTAAACAGTCTCAGAATGACAAACATAAGAATGTATACAACAATCACAATACAAAAGCAACATTATCTTTACCACAAAACAAACAAACAAAAAGATCCAAAAAAGACAGTGAGGTTGAATTAGATGTAAAAAAAAGGTCTCTCTATAGGCTTTGAAAAAGTAGATGTTTTGGTGGAAATGACTGTTTCAGATGAAGTTGGCTCCATCATATAGCCTACTACTATAGCTTACCTATAATGAATATGAACATTTTTACTTCCTTTTCCACAGGTCTAACCCTACAGGACCAGAGATACTACTATGCCACAGTGACGGCCTACAACAGTGTGGGTCTGAAGACTGATGCCTACTCCAGTAGCATCATTATAGATGCCTCACCGCCTGTTAGTGGGGTGGTCGTGGAGGTCTCTGGTCTCAACACCTTCAACTACAGTACTGGGGATGTAGTCTACAATCCTGTGTCTAACTGCACTACTGAAGAAGGTCAGTAGGAAATTTTTCTACTAGATACACTTTACAGATTGTACAATGTATGTATGCAGAATAATCTATTCTATGATGTAATTCAATCAAGTATTTCCCCATGATCATACAAAACATCCTAATGCATTCATGACAACCACAAACACTTCCAGAAATCTGATATCTCTTATTTATTTTTTCAACTATATAGAGTATCAAAAATGTCCTTCTAAAGGAGACTATGGCACAAACTAAGCTTTCTATCCAGGTGTTTCGAAGAATATGTTATCTTCAGGAGACCATTGATTATCTGATGTTACATAACATGTCAGATGCCCAAGAGAAGTCACTGCTTTAACAATTGAATGAGTATGATTTCAAAGGAAAACTTACTGTTCAGGTTAAGATAGGTATTATTTACAGAACTCTTGTATCTTTATTACCTCCGGGGGAGGAGACATCCTTCCGGGGAAGGGTTTTGTGAGAGATTTAGATTTTCACGTTCGCAGCTGTTTCTCGCGTTTGGGTGGACGGATTCTTTTGAGACTCGGTATATGTTTTGCTATTGTGCTGCAGATAATACACGTTCTTTTGTTTTTATTGTATATTTGTTTTCGGGCGTGAAAATGGTATCTTTTAGTGGCCCCAAAACACCCCTTTGAGCGTGAAAGTGGTCGCGACCGTTGACCTTTGGCGTGTTTAAGCTATTCTCAGTCTGGTCTACGTATATGACCCCTCACACAGAGGGGTGTCCGGTCTCGATAAATTCTTTGTTTAACCCTATATAAAAATATACAATAAAAAGCCCGGAGGTATAAAATCTCAGATTTTACTTGTTTGCAGAATGTGAGGCACTTGATGCTACCTGTCAACAGTCCATCACACAAGTCACTGCTGCCTGGACTCCCTTCAGTGATCCGGAATCTTCCATTGCCAAGTAAGAACAGTCCCCATTCTTTATTATGAATATCAGCACTTCGGCAGAACGTACTGCACCTGCACGAAACCTGTAATGTATTGTGTGTAGCACTTTGGCAGAACGTCTCATATAAGGTCGTATTCACTCATATAAGGTTAGCATTTCGACAGTAGTTTCCAAATGTTGTGTCAGAAAAGATATCGTCTGCAAGAGTGAAAATTCTGATGCAACGTTGACAAAAAATCCAACGAAAAACGCAAAAATCCAGGGTCCTGGGCAGATGCAGTACGTTCTGCCGATGTGCTATGAATATCCAGACTTCTACAGAAATATTGTTGTGGGTGCCTCAGAGCTGTGTGTTTGTGTAATTATTGTGGGTGGGGGAAGATTGACAAGCAGAATGCATACCAGACACAAAAATTGGGTTAAACTTAAGAGAGGGTTGACAGTACATGGATGGGGAACATCAACCATGAGAAAAACAGGAAGTCAAAAAGGTCAGACACAGGAAACGGGGCAAACTTAAAGATTAAAAAATATTCTAGGATGTCTAAAATCATGTTGTTCAACTTGTTGCACATTGTCATGGTTTCTTAAAGACTGAATTTTTCTGTCTAATAAGACTCTAGCCCTAATAAGATGTTTGTTTAAAGTTAAAACTTTTGGTCCAACACAAAAAAATCTCTCACCCAGAGCTTTCGACCAGTCACTCTGGTCTTCCTCAGTAGACTGACCCAGTGAAGCTTGTCACGTGGCTTCTTTGAAGTGTGACGTCAACACTGGGTCAAAGGTATCTGGTAGACGATGTCGGCCCCCGTCGCAGTTCAATGTAGGCCCTGATGTAAATGGCTTCCTTCACCCCTTTCAAGAAAGAGTCTTGTCCAGTGTTGGATGTTGTTTGTGTTGTCTTTAGGTATGAGTATGCTGTAGGGACCACCCCAGGAGGGGGTCAGCTGAGAGAGTACACAGAAGTACCCGGTGGGGTGTCCTCTCTTACTGTCATGGGACTGGACTTGTCACAGGTTCAACAGGTATGGACTCAAGTTTTCTTGTAACAGCTTTTCAAAAGACCATTAGTACTAATTTTCAGTAAGGCCACACCAATTTAATTTCTTGGTTAACGGATTTTTCTAGGAAAATAATGGAGCAGGCGGGCGAAAAAAAAATAAAAATGAAAACAGGCCATGATCCTATTATGGTCCAAAATGGTACAATATAGGAGCCATGAAGTCAACACAGCAGGCTGGTTCAAAATTTAAACAATGAATTTTGAACTTTTAATGATACCATTGCATTGAAAGATGGAATAACTGTAACAACTAGGATGAAAAGGACTGTTTTCAACTGTTCAGGGCAAAATATGAGCATTTTGCATTTGATTCTGAATTTTCATTTTTATTTGCAAATCAGAAAAAAATGAAGCGGGCGAATCCGTTAACCAAGAAATTAAATTGGTGTGGCCTAATGATAAAATTCATCGTAGGTCGTTGTAGGGTTTTGGTGTCGTAGTATTTTCAAGGAGACTGTGACAGTATCAACTGCTGACAGATCTATTACTGGCTTTTATATATTAACATCACAGCTACATGTACATTGTATATAACATGTACAATAACTGGGCCCGTCTGTACATATAGTCATATTATTCTTTTACTGATGTAATATTGTGTGTGTATTTTATATGTATGTTGTATATGGGCGTGTTATGCCTGAAATAAAGAAAGAAAGAAAGAAAAAGGGATGGCTATCCTAAGAATGCCCTAAGTCTGCGGCAACACAATGATTGCACAATAATTACACCCATACACATATTTACACAGTGTATTGTATAGTGTAACATTATTGATTGATGGTTGTATAGTGTAAAATTGTTGTAATGATTGATGTAATAATTGATATTTAAAATTGTTGTTAAGATAAGTTTTCCTGAAGCATAATAGCAATTGAAGTAAAAGTACTAAATAATAGTTGTATTTTTATGTTCTATAGGACTCCAGGAAGAATAGTGATGTACATATTACTAATGGAGATTCCTTAATAAACAAACAAACAAACAAATACACAGTCATATTTAAAGAAAATGAAAGTACAGAATAGTTTCAGTTTAGTGCAGCTATTAAAAGGCCCCCACACTTATAGGAAAGAGTATGGTCCTCCCTGGTGTGAGTGGTTCAAACCGTACAGTCTGGTTCTCAGGTTGACATCTTGTACAGGTGATAGTCACCTTTTATGTCCTTTCGCAAACATGGCAAATCTCAATAAATATACATGTAGGTAAGTAAGTAAAATGTTTCAGATAATGGTGATGTTACTGTTGTTTTGTTTCTAGGTCTTTGTGTCTATCAAGGCCTATAACCTGGCAGGTTTGACCACAGTGGCCATCTCCAACGGTGTATACATCAGTCTGTTCAGCGCAGGACTTCCACCCATGAGCCCAGCACAGGTGTTTGATGGTCCTGTACCTGGGAAAGACCTGTGAGTATTTTAACCTTCAGCCTGCTAAGATAACCATGTGACATCACGTTTGTATACATTTAGGTTGTGGGTTTTAAGGCAGCAGAAAGAAGGTTAAAGCTCAGTAAAAAACAATAAACAGACTTTCTAGACTACTAAAAACTGTATGGGAGTGAGACTTTTCTATATATGTCAATATCATATAGTACAATACGTCCAAAAATTTTTAAAAATGGAGATTCTCTGTGCTGTACCATACTTAGAATCTACCTTTATCTGCTTATTTTCATCAAGTTTAGCATAGTCTTTACTTTTGAAATTTAGTCATATTTGTGAACTTCTCATCTATTCTGTCATTTTCACACTGCATGCCATAACAAGCAACAGACTTGCAATAGAAGGAAATTGGACGAGGAAATGGGATAACCTTTTCTGGGACCTTTGACCTAACTTCCTGTCAATGTCCCCAAATGTACCTACATGTAGGTTGAAGAAAGAAACTAATAGTAATGTTAACCCAATTAAACACACTTTTAACAAAACTTCCATACACAGGTACATGTAACTTTCAAATTAATATATTTCACTCCATACTATAGCTATGGATGAAATATATTGTTGATAACATTGTTTTTGTTGACTACAGTGACTTCCAGACGGACCTGAATGAGATCCGAGCCAGCTGGGACTTCAGTGGAGACCCGTGTCCTGTTGTAAACTACGAATGGTCCATCAGAAGGGTGGACGAAACACTCATCCAGGACTTCACAGACACCAGACGTAAGAAAACATTCAACATTCAAATTCTTCCTAGTACATAGCATTTTTTATATTATATTATAATATATGTATTATGAGATATACAGATAAGCTTATTTCTGTATGTTATGAGATACAAGTTTGGTATCGGGCAGTAGTAAGAAAAACTAAATGGGGATCTTAAAAAAACAAAACAAGTTGCCAGCCTGAGGCTGCTGTAAGACATATAACCCAGCTGCTGCCCTCCTCTTTGTCACCCCCCCTTTCCAGCAGTATTATGACAAGAACAATTAAATCAAAGTTAAAAAAGGTTTCTGGTGCCCTGGTTTGTATTAAGGGTTGGTTGTAAGGCATATGTAAATACCATATTTTTTCTTCTCTTGCAAATACGTTTGCTTCTGTGTTCAATATTTCTACTTTGTCCATTGTGACAGTGAGACTTTGTCCAACAAAACAAGATTCATATCATAATGATTTTTTTTGTGTGTCTGTTTTATACAGTGAGAACTGAGAGTGCTAATGATGGTTTGGAGATGACTGATGGTGAAACTTACTACAGTGTCGTGAGGGCCACAAACGTACTGGGTAACACTTGGACTGTACGCTCTGATGGTAAGTTTAACTGTTCAATGATTTTTATAAATATAATTCATATGCATATAAAATGTACATGCCCCAAAAAGCAGTTACTCATTGACAAGCAACTGGATATGATTTTGGAAGTGGTCGGTCGTTTCAGCTAGCATCCACTAGCTTTTGTCAGTGACTACAATGTACATGAACGTTATATACATGACTATTTAGACATACAATTCGTCGTAAAATCTTGGTCTCCCTCATCTGCTGTTGGCTTCTCAAGAATGATTGTTGCAATAGGAGACAATGTTGTCTTGCGTAAGCAAAGATTGATAAATGGAATTCTCAGGAACAACAAATCTTGATATGCTTGTTTCTTGTAAAATGTACATTGTAATATACAAGTCATAGACAAGTCTCTCTGTGTTAATTAATTCTGTATCATAAAAACATGTCAACAATTTGTACATGTCAACATAGTTTAAAAACACACCTTATTTGATGGTACTGGTATGCCTCACCAGTGGGTTCATCAGTTGAACACCACCCGTCATGGGTCACCTGTCAACATACATGTACAATGTATTTACATGGCATGCACTCATGTATTTACATGGCCATGCACTCTTCCAGGTATTGTGGTACAGAGAGAACCTCTTGTTCCCGGAGTCACCAGGGACGGCAAGATCATTGGCTACGACCTGACCTATCAGGCGTCAGTTACTGACATCTGTGCCAACTGGGACAACTTTGGGGCCAGCACTACTGATGTCAACAGTGATCCCTCTGGTGAGTGTTTGTAAATTTCATCAAAATTCTATGCCTGATATTTTGCCAGTTATGTACAGAGGTTTGTGTGTGGAGGTTTTGTTTTAGTTTTTTTTTTAGCTTCAGGAAATGATGTAACTACAGACTGACAGGAAAGTCAAAATGGAGGTCCAAATTGTCTCCATTCAAGCAAGGAGAAAGTGAGGGTAAATTGGAGGTCCAAATGCTCTCACTGCAAGCTACATGTAGATGTAGGACCCCAAAAAAGTCATGTCAAACTGAAGGTCAAAATGGCCTTCTAACAAGCTGTGAGGAAGTGACAGTGGAATATGCACAGAATCAGCAAAAAATGTAAAGAAAACAAGAAATTTAGAATTCAAGATTAATTGCACGTACTATTATGATTCCTTTTCACCAGGCAACCCACAAGTTGAGCAGCCGGAAGAACATCGCGCCATAGACTATTATGTCGTCTCCGTGGGAACTGACCGGACATCATCCAGAACCCGTAACAACATCGTCGCTCCCACCAACGTGGGCCTGAACAAGACAGTCTGTTTCTACCACCTGAACCTGGATCCAGGAGACTCCTACTACTACGTGAACGTGCAGGCGTTCGGGAAAAACTTCGCTCCTGCTGAGGCAACGTCCAATGGCATCCGTGTTGGCTACGACAGTGGAGTCATAGGTACGTTTGTATGTTTTTTTCTTGTGTTTCGTTCACATTTAGAGCTTTGTATGTTTGAACTTTTTAGACATTTTAAGCCAGATGCAGTTGAATTTGCAGTGCCAACCACAATATGTTCTACAGGCAATACCCTAAAATATACAAAAACTATAATATAATATAAAAAATATAAAAAAAGGCAAACTAGGTAAATCTTGTAGAGTGTGAAATGAAATCAAAAACACTGTCTGAATGAAAGCTCATCTGTGTTCAACTCTACAACTGTTACACTTACTATAAAACAATGTCTACTTTTTTCCAACAGCTGGAAACATCAGCGTGTCCCCCTTCATCAACTCTAACAACTCTGTGCTGGTCCTGTGGGAGGGTTTCCAGTCCAAACCCAACGTCTTCCCGACTTTCACCTCTGTGTTGGCCATGAGGATGTTCATGGTCGGCATCGGGCGTAGAACAGACAGGCAGAGGAGGACAACAGCACATGAGGACGCACAGGATCTCAACTGTAAAGATATGGTAAGAACTGAGCTATCAACCAAGAATTGAGGTGTTCAAAGACTCGTATTTCCAAAGAACTATCGTAGACTGGAACTTGTTGCCACCAAGCACAGTTGGGGCATCATCCCTAGAAAGCTTTAAACAACTCCTGCACTAAATGTGCAAAGATTGAGTGTAACAAGTTGTTCAGTGTGATATAGCTAGCTGCTGCCGCGCCGAGTGCCTGCGAAGCTGGTATGTTACGCTGAATTGCGGTTATACCGGCTATACAGATACAGAACTGTTACCACATTCTACATGTACTAGCTGTATGTACAGTAACTACAGTCACTTTCAATTGGTTATCTGGCCAGCCAACCACCTTGCACAGCCATCCACCTCCAGTCATAATCCAGTAATGGTTTCATGTAATTTAACAATTAGTTAAGACCTTGTTAGCGAAAGTGAGTCACCACGCACTTTCACTAACCAGGAAGTAAGAGGATTGGTATGATAAAACATATGATGAGAAGTCTATAATGATAATTTGTATTATTCAGTAAAAGATCTACATGTACATGGCCAACCCGGAGTGATGGAATAATTGAATGTTGTATTTTTTCCAGATTGATGAGAACAGTGAGGTGTATCAGACCATGCTCCCTGAGATCTTTACCATAATGCCATGGACCATGATAGAGAAGGACACGTTCTACAAGGCTGAAAACCTGTCCTTTGTACACGACGGAGAGTACTTTGTAGTGGTGGTGGGAGTGGATGAAGCTGGTAAGAGTCAGTCATTCTGTATCAATCACTTAGTGTGAATATTTTCTTCAAGTTTGAGGTTGTTTGTTTGTTTATTGGTTTGCATATATTTAAGAACAATAAAATGAACATATTACTGAGTCAGACAATAAAATAAAATGCTGGGGAACGATATGAAGCCATAGTGGTTTGTCTGGGATCTTCCCCGACAAAATTAATTAACAACTGAAATAATGCTAACAAATCAAATGGTAATAATGAATAACAATAAGTAATTAATAAATTTGATCAATATGATAATGGTAACAAAACAAATAGCAACAATGAATAACAAAAGTGATTGATAAATAACGCTAGTTAGAAATGATATGTTAAAACAGAGGTTAACAGAACTTTAACTGCAGTACAGACATTGGCAGAATTGAAGCAATAACTCAAGAAAAAAATAAATGAATTTTAAAAAGAAACGGAAATTCAAACTTATACAGATGATTTCCATAGATTATGAGGAAGAAAACTTTAATGAAAATTAGTAACTTGCCTAAAAATTCGTATACACTATGCAAATAAAATGCTTAGAATCTGGAAATGATACATTGTTTCAGGTGAATGTGAGAAGAGCATGGAATACTTTGAAGTTGACCTGACTGACCCGATAGAGGGCTACCTGAGGGTGGGTCCACTGCTTGGACAGGTAAGAAATATCTACTACTACTACTATTACTACTACTACTACTACTTTCACTACAGTAACTACTACTACTACATGTACTACTACTACCACCACAACCACATTACTACAACTACTATTACTACACTGTTATACTATATAATAGTAACTACTTCTACTAACTACTACTACTACAGTACTATTACTACAGTAACTATATAGTAACTACGGCTACTACTATTACTTCATCTACTAGTACTTTTGATACTACTACCTACTGGTACCACCACTACTACTACTATACAATGTACTTCTGGTAATAAACACGCAAACCCACAGCTCAGCCACCCAAAATAATACTCCTGTACCCGGAAGTAAAAAAAAAGCAGCATTTAATTCCTGGAATGTTGTATTTTCCAGGAAATGGTGTACACGAGAACTGATGAGAAGATTGACGTCTTCTGGGGGAACTACTCGGACCCAGAGAGTGACATAGACCACTACGAGGTGGGCCTGTTCAAGGCTGTGTCCTGTGCTGAGGAAGACGAAGAAAACCTGGCCGTAGAAGTGGACTGGATCATAGTAAACGACACTTACAGATCCTACACACTGATGCCACTGGAACTACAGGTGTGGTAGACTTAAGTGCTAATTACATGTACTAAAGACACTCTACTGTAATTTCATTTACATTATTTAAATTTGCGATGGTTTAATTTTAATTTTCTGTTGAAACTAGTAATTACAGTAAATGGTACATTAGAAATATTAACATCATCATGAATTTGCAGTGGAGAGGTTACTACAGAAAGCTTTAAAATAAAACAATGCAGCTCATGCAGCAGGTACATTCATGCACAGTTTAGATATGCAGGCGTGCATGCATGCACTTTACATGTTGCATTGAAGATTAGTTTAATGCATTTTCTCAGGATGGCGGATATATGTGACATGGCAGAATGGTATAAGATGATACCATTCCAGTTTAAATATTTTATAATTGCAAATTATGCTGCTTTACAGCGTAACATTCCGTACTATGTCCGCCTGCGAGCCGTGAACGCTGCCGGTACCACCATCATGACGGAGTCCCCGCCGATCATCTATGATGACTCGGAGATCTCGGCAGGGTCTGTCGTTGACGGGTGGGACTACTTCGAGGACCAGGACTACCATGGAGACCCAACTGCAGTTCAAGGTAATGATCCAGTTCAGCACCAAGGACAAGCATGTTAGCATGTTAGCTCTTAACTCAAGTGAAAATGAGTATTGTCTTGTATTCGTCCTGTATTTGGCATCATAAAATAAGTTGAAATAGCAGGAGCGTGCCATCACTTAGTGTCCAGTCATTAAAATGTTGGAATGATAAAAAAAGCATGTCAGCCCTTGTGTTTGGCACCAATGACAGGCATGTAAACATGCATAGAAAGTGTTCAGTACCAGGGACAGGCATGTAGACCTGTGTAGAAAGTGTTCAGAACCAAGGACAGGCATGTAATATAGTGTGAAAAGTGTTCAGCTTCAAAGGACAGGCATGCAAACATTTGTAGAAAGTGTTCAGCTTCAAAGGACAGGCATGTAGACCTGTGTAGAAAGTGTTCAGCACCAAGGACAGGTATGTAAACCTGTGTGAAAAGTGTCAGTACCAATGAAAGGCATCACCTATGTAGAAAGTGTTCAGCACCAAGGACAGGCATGTTAGCTTGTGTGGAAAGCATTACTGTAACTTTACTTTTGGGCCAGAAGTATTTTTGGGTGGTGCTAATGTATGCTTGTATGGTTGGGTTCCAAAGTGTGTGGCTAAGTTGTTGGTTTGTGTCGTACTACCTGCATCTTTTCGTAGGTTGACACCATGTGGGTGGGGATAGATTGACAGGCAGAATAGCAGGTCAAAGGTCTCACAGAATCTGACCAGTAGCTAGTGCAGAGTAGAGGCTGACATGACATGTGGGAATTCAGCAGGCAGAAGAATGCATATTAGGATTGCATACTTCTGAAAAATCTGACAGTTCTGATTTCTTGTTTGACTTATCCTTACCGGGAGACCCGGGTTCGATTCCGAGTCGTACGTACCCGGGACATGTCTGAACATGCGCCCCGACGTTGTGCCCTTGGGAAAGGCACTTTACACGAATTTCCTCACTCCACCCAGGTGTGAATGGGTACCTAACTTCGGTTGGGGAAAGCCGTATTGAGGTCACCTTGTGGCGCCGAATGGCAGCCGCACAGACCCTTGCGACAGTTCCACAAAAAATAATTGTGGAAAAAACATGTGTATCATGTATATTATTTGATTGTTGTAATTGTTGTGATTTGTATTGATTATTGTGATACCCTGCATCAATTCAGCCGTATAAAGGCTGCGACTGCACGGGTACTGTTTGGACAATAAAAACCATTTATTATTATTATCATTATTATTACTAGGCATGTTCCTGCATCTTGCTGACCCGAAAGCTGAGGAGTGCCCCGTGAGACCTTCTCCCTTCATGGATGGAACGTGGAGCAAAGTCACCACAGACAAACTGTTGGGGATGTACACCTACACAGATATCTACAGGGACTGGAAGCTTACAACACGGGAGAAAGAGGTTGGTGTCCCTGTAGATTTTTTATTACCTCATTGTAAGGAGGTTATGTGTTTGGTGTGTATTTCACTTTGTTTGTTGTGTTTCTGTACGTATGTACGTACGTACTTCCACATACTACATGCAGAGTAGTATTGCAGACACTGACAGATATTTTCACAAATGTAGGTCAAAGGTCCGAAGAAAGGTTATCTAATTTTTCAATTCCCTGATATATTGTACATGTACAAAATTGTCATCCTTGGGGCCAGTGGGAAAAATGCATCAGTCAGAATCATTATTTTATTCTTCTACTAGTTCTGACAGTGAAATTCCCCTAGCTCATGGCTTAACATCTTGTCCTAAGTGCTGCAACCCTTTCCAGATGTGTGCAAGTTAGGCGATGGCTATTCTTCCATGCCTTTTTTTCTACGTACACACTTGTGTACACTCACTATCCGGTTAAACCTCTGTTGTTGCCTGTCAACTAGGACTGTTGGACTTGCATACTGAATGTTGAATACTGATGCTTGATAGCAGCCCGCCATTCACCACTATCCTTTTTATTCACGTAGTGTAAATTGAGGTGTTGAAATCCTCCATTATGTTGTCAATCCATCTTTTCCTTGGTCAACCTCGTAGGTTTTGGCCTTCTGGTTAAAAAGTTTAAAGAGAAAACATTAGATGTTAAATGTTAAGTTGAACATGCTTTTGTTACAACACTCTGATATGATGTATGTTGTTTGTGTGTACTAGGCTGAGTGGACTGAGAGTGGCGACTCCCTGGCTATCACCATGATCCGCAGTGTCCAGTCAGAACTCATGTACTCGGGGTGTGTCTACAGGAACGCTGACATACAGATTGGTGGTACCTACAAGGTAAATAAAATGACACCTGTTACAGTAAGCACTATCCACTTTAAGAAAAAAATACTGAGAGATGCCCAAATCACGCAGTGAGCATATCGATGTAGGTCCATCTCAATATATTTGTTTGTAGTTCGTCCTGGGTTTACCTATGCTATGTATTTTCCACTTTAGGCCCCAGTTTAGAACTTGGTTTGCTAGTCTGGCTGGTGGAAAAGTCTTATAACATGGCACTCAGACTAGTATAACCTGTGTAAAGAGTAAAAAAAATGTGCTCACTTAAAGTCTTGTTGGTTTCTCCTCAGATGTCCATCAAGGCGGCAGCTCCTACAGTGTCAGCAGTGACCAGTGTGGTGTTCTGGGACGGCCCAGACGGGACATGTGGGAGCTCCGACATGTGTGACTACTGCTGTAACAGTGAGGATGACTCGGTATGGCCATGGTTTATGATTCAGCTGTAATTTTGTAAATAATGTATTATATTCCTTGATCATTGTATTGTACAGTATTTAACATGTTAATGATGTTCAATTTTGTAATGTGTTTTGTATTCATTATTGTAATCTGTATTTGTATTGTACATGTAGTGTTGGGAGGACAAGTTGTAAAGGTGTCAATGCACCTGTTTTGTCCTCCCTTCCACTTGTATTCCTGTACTCGTGGTAACCTCAAATAAACAAATCCATTACTGATATTCTACTGCATTACTGTATGTACAGAGACTTTCGTTGTGGGTTTTGGTGCGTGGTAGAAGGAAATGGGAGGTCACTCCAAAACTGCAAAAATACAATGTAGAACAAAAGTTTTTGCGTATACTGTAAAAGTCTAAAATCCCTGATGTCTTGTTTGCATGGCTTTTGATACAAGAAAAGTGTCTAACTTTATGAATTCCTTTGATTTTTTCCAGATCATCTGCCCATGTGACTGTAACAAGTACTCAACCGACCCCATAACTACAACACCACCGCCCACCACAACAGCACCTCCACAAAACACTACGTCAGCACAGAACAGCACGTTCACAACACAGAACAGCACATTCACAGCACAGACCAGCACAGCAGCCCCACAGCGACCTACACCAGTGTGGGCTGTCCTTCCTGACCCGATCGAAGGGCAGACGTCAACTGTCAGCGAAGAAGAGACGTTTGTCACTCAGAGTGCTTGTGGCATGCACATTATTCCTAATGGTACGTCACAAAAGATAATCTTTTGCAACAGACAAGAAATCTTGAGATTGCTTCAAGAACTATTGTTATTGCTTCAAAGAGTCATGAAATGAGATTGTTTCATAGGATCTTAAGATTGTTTCAAAGAATCTTGAGCTTGTTTGAAAGAATCTTGATGTTTTACAAGAATCTTGAGATTGTTTTAAAGAATCTTGAGATTGTTTCAAAGAATCTTGAGATTGTTTCCAAAGAATCTTGGGATTGTTTCAAAGAATCTAGATTGCATTTAAAAATCTTGAGATCATTTCAAAGAATCTTGAGATCATTTCAGAGAATCATGAGAGACCATTTAACAGAATCTTGATTGATGACATCGATACAGAGAATATTTACATTATAACTGTTACAGACTTTTCCCTTAGACTCTTTTTTCACATATTCGAATTCTGCATTTTTACAAATTTATTACCAAAAATTAATTTGGTTTTTGCATTAGATTTATTTAGAACGACAATCTGTCTTTCCCTCTGCAGGAAATACCAACTCTAGGCTCATCATGTGGTGTACGTACTATGAAGACAAGTACATGCCTAAGTACAAAGAAATCTTCCTGAACTTCGACCCTTCAGCAGCATTCCACGACTATGAGTTTAGTTTTACTTTGACAACCTGGGAGGAGCTGGTAAGTTCTGTTAGAGTAACTGTAACTGTTGTGTTTAAAAGTTTACTTGTGTCACTTGTTAGGCTGTCGGAAAATGTGATTTGAAACAAATCCGTAAGGTTCGTACTGTTGACAAATTGGTAAAAGAAACAGTTAATGCTGAAATTGCCAAACTATTGAATTGTTCTGCTTAAACTTTTTTTGTCATTTGTCTTAGGTTGTTAGACCTTGTATCACACTAAACAACCTTTGATGATACAAAAAATGGGCAAAACAACAGTGTAAAATGGAAATGGTGGTATTGTTTTGCGCCCGTTTGTGTGTGTGTGTGTGTGTGTGTGTGTGCATGTTTGCTTGTGTCCACAGTTTGTACAATTGAGTAACAGCAAGTGGCAAGGGGGAATCCCTAACGAAAAGTGTGTGCATGTTTGCTTGTGTCCACAGTTTGTACAATTGAGTAACAGCAAGTGGCAATGCAAGGGGGAATCCCTAACGAAAAGTCAGACATAGGAAATTAGGTAAAGAGATACCAGAATGTAGGTAGAGAGATTTCCTTTTTTGTTGCTAATAAAATGGTCTTTACCTTGTTAGGTATAAAGTACATTGTATAAGAATGTCAATGTCTTTCAAGAAGGATTCAAAATGATTAACTGTCAGTGAACATTTTTTTCTCTTTCACAGTCTGACTGGTCCTTCAGTTTTAACATTGATGGACAGCAGTGGGCCATGATATCCGGCCTACCATCCTTCACCAACAACACTAAGATCATGTTGAACGTCTTCAACGAAGGCAACGATGTGCCTGTACTGGACAACAAGTTCAAACCAGGCCTGACCACTGCCATGTTCCGTAACGTTGTGTGAGTATGGGGAAAGAAAAATGAGTTTCAACAAGTCTCCTACTTTGCTATGGCATATGTCCACAAAATAGAATATTTTTTGGTTTGATCGTTGTTGTAGTCTAGACAAGAATTGTATTCAAGTTATGACCCTTCACTTTGACCTTATTTTTCCTGTGCTCCATATGTTACTGCTACAAGCTAAATATCAGAGCTATTATACAAAATATATCTTTGAGAAGTCTTGTCATTTTAGTTTTTGTGTTTTAATGATAAGCTATGCTGCATGACCATTTGACACATGTTTGATTTTCTGGTTAATATTGTATTTTTCATAAGTCACTGTACATGTAGGTTCCATACTTTTGAGCAAAAATGTGTCTGCCGTAGATTTCCGCCGCCAAGTGATATTCCGTGCCGTTACGGACGACCATTCCGCGGAAACATAGATCCAATCATCAAGTACTATGCCGGAGTCCTGGCAGAAAATCCTGATGGTACACAGAGCCAAGTGGTAGACTTTGAAGAGGTGAGGAATCATTTTTTTGACTCAGTCATTTTATCACTTTCTACTTAAACTTCATATGGATGTAGCATGCTAGCAAATTGAACCTTCTTCTAATCCAAAGTGATTTTAGGGGAATAAAACTGGATTTTTTAAAAATTTGTTAAGTTGAATCGACCCCTTTCCCATGATGTTATTTGTGAGGCACTACAATGCGATGTAACTGACGGAAAATAAGTTCTTTTTTTTTATCCCAGGCTGGATTTTTTGGTGGTATTAAAAAATAAAGAGACTCCTCACATTGAGTGATACAATGTAAGCAATTTGAAATCGCCCACTGAATTGTGCAAGGAAAACATACCAGTCGTCAGTTGTCAAGGAGGTCATGTATCAAAAAAGACCAGTAAACAGGGATTGCTACCAGATGTACGTTTTCATTGTGATCAGTGACTGGGACAGACTGAACCCAACAATATCCATTACAACGTAACTAAGTGTAATGCGGAAACACAGTCACACACACACAGAGTCATACCAAAAACAATACCTTCATTTTTCATGGAGGTAACAACTTATTTTTACCACACTTTATCAGATTTACACCCCATGTCTACCGTGCCTGGATGACTGTAGCAGGTTTGCCTGCGACCCACAATGCAACACCAGCAGTGAAAACGTGGAAGTCAAGTTCAGCATTGAGAACCTCAACCTCACTATTGCTAACGAGAACGGGACCGCTATACCCTACTACCTTATAGGTAAGGAGTTAAAGCATTAATGTCAAGGTTGACATGTTTTATTTGAATAAAAGACATGTTGAAATGATCGACGTGTAGTACACATCCAAGAAGTAATAACTTACAATATATTTTCTGTTATAAAGTTCAAATTAACGCATTTTTCATCTGAACTGGAACATAAATGTACATGTAGTCATGTAGCAGTTATTTTAGCTAGTATATACATTTAATAGCATGTAATACACAAAGGAAATCTTAACTGGTGTTATCCATTCCATCAGAAAACATTGTCACATAACCAATATACTAGCTAAAATATAACAGCTTGAGTTGAGACATACAGGGCTTAAACCACAAAAAAGTGGGCTTTTATTAATACCGGTAACGATTGATACACACAGTGGAAATGTTTACTGGTGCGTTATTGCCTAAATCAACGTTAACCCTTATCAAACTTAACTGGGACATGATCACATATAATACTAGCTAAAACAACAGCTGGAATTAGATACTATGCAGGGGTCTCTCCACCAAAAGTGTTTACTTATAGTGATCAATATAAACAGGAAATCTACATGTTTATACTGGTGCTATTTATCACCTAAAGCAACAATTATCAGACTCACCTGGCATTTATCATCATTGTACAATGTACATGGTAAGCTACAGTTTTCATGCAATATTTCTGACAGATTTCTTTCAAAATGGCAAATTTTCTCCCCACAGTCAAGGCACTCTCTGCCAGTGGAAGTGAAGTGACTACTACGACCAATGGGTTCACAATCGACACAACTCCGCCTAACATGGAGACTTCCATCCACGTTGATGTGATGCAGGGAGAACTAATGCCGACGTCCTACCAACAGTCCAACAACACAATAAAGGCTGTGTGGTACTTCTCAGATGAAGAAAGTGGTATCAAGGTAAGCTAGACTCAAAGTTAATGTTTGGTAGACTTCTAACATAAAGCCAGAGGTCCTGTATTTGAGGAAAGCCACACTGTGGGCACGTTGTACAATGTAAATCCCACTACACTTATTGAAAAGTTAATGTCCGTGTCAGTGTGATTGGTTTAAACCTTACAGTCTGGTCTGACACATACAGCTTGTACTTACTGTACAAGACCTAAAGCCGGTTTGCTTGTTGTGAAAAACAAACAAAAATAAACAAACAAAACGGAAGATGTTGACTTTGACTTGCATTGATGTCAATGATACCTATAAATGTAAAGGTAAGGATTTCACTTTAAAGTCAATTTTCTGCTCATTTCTTTACATACATTCAATTTTGTAGTAAGTTGAATAAAGTTTCACATTGCATGACAAGCTTACTAAAAATGAAAAATCCTTGCCTTCTATACAGGCAGAGAGAAGCTATGATCTTTGTGCACAGCCCTGTAGCATGTAACTTTTGGTACCAACGAAATATATCGGGAATAGACTTTTTGCAAACATCAAAACTGTTTTGTTATCAATACTACCAATACTCAAACTGTACTTGATGTTTAAGGATACCTTTGCCGAATGTATGGATAGAAGAATTAATCATGGCTTCTTTTGTTCCACCTTACAGGAGAACTGTTTTGCCATTGGTTCCCGTCCTAACGGTACCGACCTTCAGAACTTCACCTGTATTGGTGTGAACACGACTGGAGAGAACTCACAGCTAGAGGGTCTACTGGAGAACAACCGGACATACTACGTGTCTGTCAAGGCCACTAACAAAGCAGGGCTTACCGCTTATGGTGTGACAGGAGGTAGGTTGATTTTGTCTAAATTGTAAAAATTATTTTTCAATTTCTTTGTTGTGACCTCTCCACTGTAAATTCATGACACTGTGATTATGTGTTTAGAGTTAAAATTTTAGAGCCAACACAAAATGTTCTCTCACCTAGAGCTTTTGACCAGTCACTCTGGCCTTCCTCAGTAGACTGACCCAGTGAGGCTTCTTTGTGAATATGTCTTCCTTGTATGTCTGAATTTAGGCCACTGACTGTGAAAACCCCCATATCGCTCCTCCCATGGCGAGGAAATAAATTAATTGAGCCCATATTTCAGAACTAAGGACAGAGCAATGTTTTATGTTCTAGGTGTAACCTGCTTGCTTGAGCCTCCCTCTGCCAATGTGAACACCAGTGCCCTGGGATGTACAGAGATGGCGGGAGCCTTCCCTCCCGGATCACTCGAGGCAACAGACCCAACAGAAGTGGGGATTTCATACGGTCCGCCTGAAGATCCTAGCATCAACAAAACAAGTAAAACTGTTATACTATTATTAGTTTACGAATTGGTACCCAAGGTTAGATTATAGCACAAATTTAAAAAAAAAATTCAGGCTGAAATATTCTTTAATGATATGCATGTTCACTTGTGATGATTGCAAACTAAAACTGATATAAGCTAGAATTTATACACAGTTTATTTATATGTCTTAACTATGTTGTTCTTTACAACGAGTTCTTTTTCTTTTCAATTTTTTTAGCAATGCCTCAGGGGTAGATCCCTTTTGTAGTATTGGGCCTGACAGGTATATAAAATAATTTCCGTTTCCAAGTGATGTGCATCAAAATGTGGGGATGGAGGGGACACTGTTCTTTGTTTTAGTTGTTTTGGCAACACCTCGGGAACAGAGCCCTTATTTGCAGTATTGGGCCTGACAATTTTCTGTTTCCCAGTGATGTGCGTCAAAACTTGTGGGAACGGAGGGGACACCGTTCCCTGTATACAGATCGGTCTCGGCGGTGGAGGCAGTGCAGCTATCGTAGACGGACAACTCCTCGTTTCCAACCGGGTAGTTGCCAACATCTCGGACCTACCGAAGCCGACAGATCCCAACTGCTTCACTCCGGACACCAACGACACCACATCAACCTCTCTCTCCGATACGTCTGTTCAGAGGTCCATGCAGGCTTACGTCAATGCAAGGCCGACTAGTCCTTCCACTATATGCAGGTGAGGTTCGAAGTGGTTTTATATCCTGGTATGTTTCACCATGTTATACGACTGGATTATTCAAACTTTCCAAGTTACAGCATCGCAGTAGCCCTTGACAGGGCCACTGAATTGCACTGATCTTTTACATAGGTTTATTGTAACTACTAGTGCACACAATCCACATAAAATCGCCACATATAAGATATAATGTGCTGGGTTAAAATATTACTATTACCTTAATCGAGTAGGAATCTAGAGACCAATATCATCACAAGTGTGTATTGTTTGCCATTCACAGTTGAAACATTCCATAGCACAGTAGAAGTAATGATTTTGTGTTTAGACGACATTGCAACAGACTAAAGTAAATGCATTTACAGCAACAGCAGCAAATTAGAATAAAAGCATTTACAGTATACTGCCCCCCTTTGTATTATAAATATAAGCATAAAGGTGTGTGTACCTTTGTGTTTGAGAGCTACATGTTGTTGTACAAGTTGGACTGTACAGTTAATTGTCTCTGTCCTTAGTGCTGAATGTTGTACTGTACGTTCATCTTGGTGTTGGCTACATGGTTTTGCTGTATCTTTCATGTTTTATGACATTGTTTTGTTCAGGATATTGAGACGTTTTGTCAATTTTCTAGGGCAAGTGCAACATCATTAAGTGGCAGGACATACAACGTCCCACCTGGATCGTAAGTTAAACTTCGAACTCAGAACCACATATTATCTGATTTATTATTTGTATTTTTTGTTCAATTGAGTTTCTTTATGTTGTCTCTTTTGTTTTATCTTATCTTTCTGGGATATTTCAGTTGTTTGTTTATCTATTTTTTAGTTGCACCATGAACTGTCTGAGAATGTGTAACCCAGCTAACCTGTGTGTTGACAAGTGTGATGGGCCCATCGTGACTTTGCGTAAGTCTTTGATTATTAATCAGCATTTTGTCCTAAGTACAGAAATAATTCTGCAGTAGGTTTTAGAGACTTCTATCACTTAAGTTTGTGCTTTCGAGAGTTGGTAAATCGTTGAGTCACTGTGATACTTTTGCTTACAAATACTGATGTTATACATAATGTCTTGCCTCAGCTGTTCACCTGTTCTAACAAGAAGTCATAGTTTTGATACCTTGGTGGAATGTTTTGGTGTACTTTATTCACACGTCCTATTCTTTATAGTTGCGAATTTATTGCTAATTCTGTCTTCATATATTCCCATTGACATGCATGGAGCAGGAACTTGAAGACAGAAAATGAGATAACCTTTTCTGGGACTTTTAACCTAACTTCCTGTCAATGTTCTGAAATGGGCATTTCATGTGGAAGCCCAGCACCTATAAACACATGAAATTACAGCAATACACTGAAAACAAAACCTCCGTAAACAGAGTAAAAATGTAAATGTAAGGAGATGTAGAAGGGTGACTTTTTAAAATTTGAAATTGTATGTTATACCTACTTTTATAATTAGCTGCTGGTGACTCCACTGTTGCTGCTACACCTGGACAAAGGATGAGAATCACTGCATCAGGTTCTAGTAACAGAAAGCGAAGATCATCATCAAGTGATTATGAACTCTCCATAGAACCAACCGGAGGTTTGTTACTATTCAAAACTATTGTTGATACAGCATTTTTCAATAATTAACCTTTTTGTCATTTCAGTATTTTTCCAAGCATTGCATGTGCACGTGCGTGTGTCTGATGTAAAAAAAAAGGATACTGAATGATGACTATCAAATTATGGCATAGTCACAATAGATGTATGACTTCATGTACATTGATAAAATGAACATGTTCTGGTGTGTAATATAATATGTAAGGACAAACTTGTAAGAAGTACTACAATGTAAATATTGCAAATGCAGGAACTTAAGCTGTGATTCTATTTTTGTGGAAACCTCTTACTACCAAATCATTACACTGTAATTCTATACATGTATTTAGTTTCAAAAGTGAACACTGAGAAAGCCATTTTTCTGTGAAACCACGGCAAAGGTAAAATTTACCGTATCTTTTTGCACAACTGACACATGGATTGTTTAATTTGTAGACCTTCCTGCTGGTGTAACCATAGCCTTTGGACAGCTGGACCAGAACCGAGTTTCACAAGAGTATGGGTCTGATGCCTCTGATGACTTCATCCCCTACATCACTGATCCTACACTCACCATAGAAGCTAACATGACAGGGAGATACCTGAAAGACAGGTAGGTACTTGAAATATTTAGACCCAACAAACAGCCATTGTGGTGTATAGTTATGAGGGTGACAGCCTATGTTGCGTGTACATGTATTTATTGAGATTTACCAAATGTGGAATAGATTCAATTTGACAAAATGTGACTATATACTACCTTTTAAGGATATCAAACATGAGACCAGACTGATAGGTTTGAATCACTCACACGCTACTCTTTACAATACGTGTGGTGGGTTCATTTACATGTTTGAGGCTTTCCTCAGACATGGGACCTCCAGCATGGGACCCTTCTGGGAGGACATCTTTAACCAAAGCTCTAGAGGTAATCAGTAGGTGTCTTGCCTAAAGACACAACATGGGCCAGCTAGGCATTCAAAACCAGGATTTTCAGATGTCAACAATCCTAAAACCACAAGACTACCTTGCCATTTGCTAGCATGTGCTTGGGTATTTGACCCAGAATCTACCTTGACAGGCCCCCTTTTGAAATGCACAATTGTGACTTGTCTCACTTCAGTCTCTGTAACTTAGATTAAATGTACCTACAGGATCAAGACCATCCTACAGCCCAGTTTCTACCTGTCTGTTGTGGGACAAGTTGAGCTGAATGCGTCGCTTGCTGTCACGTCCACTGTAGACCCTGCAGCAGCCAACTGGACAGACTATACCCCACTACTGGTCTTCTGGAACAAAGGTAATTGGCTGTCCAACTGTCCATCACAATTAGCAGTTCAACCAATGGCAGCACAGCAATTCGGACTTGGACCAATGAGAGAGTCGCTACTATTCTATGTTTTTATTTTGCATTTCTATGTTTTGATGGAGGTGCCATATAATTTGTCTATTTTCTACAGAAATGTCAGTTCTATGGTTCTATGAAAGGTTGATGCTGTATATTTACTTTATAATTATGCATTGTAATGAAATGTACATGTGGATCTTTTTTTTTGGCAGACCTGAGTGAATGGGATGATGCTTCTCGCACCTGTGATGAAAATGGGCAAATGGAGTTCAATGAGACTACAGGAGAATTGATCACTTATGTAAGACTTAGTCTATCTAATATTTGATACATGTATGTCAAAGTTAATCATTTAGCCAAATATCATAGGTTAAATCTATTTCAAATTGCTTATTAGTACAGTAGGTGATCTGGACTTGTACAGGAATTCAGTTTTTGTTTTAATGCTAGTAAGTATTCTTCTTGGTGGCTGAGTGTAAATGTCTCTCTCCTTGCCCAAAGAGATTTTGGTTGCATGGTGGGTGGGAAGGGATTTTAACAGTTGATTGATAGGGAGGTCATACCTGAAGCTGACCAGGCATATAGGTGGCATATATGTGGAGGAATTCAGAAAGTGGTATGATTATAATACTCTCGATCAAATTACATTATATAATCCCCTCCACAGTGCGTTCACGAAAACCACAAATACTTCTGAAAGTCTGAAATATCTGATTTCTTCTTCAGGACTTCTTATTGTTTATCTCATGATGATTTATATTTAGATAGTTTTAGATAGACGCAGAATTCTATATTTTCTGAACTTCAATTTTGTACAGGTATGCTCCACCAACTACCCGACCGCTCGCAGTCAGCGTGCAAGGCGGTCCACAGATGTTGTTGTCGATTACTTCAGTAGGGAGACGCAGTTTGCTGTGGTCATCGCCACCAAAGGAATCCCTAATGACCCCCCTGTGTTCACTTCAACACTGGCCCTCTGGATGGATGAAGATGGAGGTTAGTTATCGTGATTCCTTCTTTTTTTTTCCTGACAATCATGGCTTAGATCAATGTTAGCAGCTTTGTTGCTGACCTGACAAAGAGACTGGGCCCACACATAATTAATGTATTCTATATCTGTCATTTGAATATTTTATAAAATTTTGAACAGGCATGCTGATTGGCCAAACCTGAGTGGTGGTATGGGGTCATCCAATGGACAGAGGCCCCACTCAGCAAACGACGGTTGAATTAACTCATTACCAGACGGATAAAATTGGACAATTTGTACTTTTTGTTATTATCACTATTTATTAATGTTATTGATTAGTTACTGTTTTTTCTTTAATATTATTGCCATTATCATTATTCATTGTCACAATTTTACTGTTTGTATGTGACTTGTGTTGTGTAAACAGGGCCCCATTGAAAAGAAGTGCAATCACTTAATGAGCCACCCTAAATAAAAATGACGGAAAATAAATAAATAAATTGTTTTAATCCATAGGAACTCTGGCATACTGGATTCAGGCGTCAGATCCAGACAATGATGCCATTGTCTTTGGCATCGACCCCAGCTCCTCCCCAACACTCGGTACTGCCACACTGTCAGAGGAAGGGCTGCTCACGTACAAGCCTTTTTCACAGGAGTTCGGTGGGTTTTGTTTGCTTGTTTTGAATGACTGATAAATCACCTTTAGGCATAACACACCAGGTTGTACAGAAGTAAAGGCTATGTAAGACCATACTGTAAGATTTTAACCACTTTTTTAACCACCGTATATTACTAGACTAAGTATACTGGAGACATTGTTGATGGATATTTTTGATAAAATCATTTGGTTATATTTGGTACTTGTGAAGTGAAACAAAGGACACGTTCCCATTATGGGCCTTCTAGCAACTCTCTGTGGTGTTGCAGCAGAACTCTCTGTTTTGATATCCATGATACGTGGCTCCTAGTTTAACCACACCGTAACATAATGGCTTTTTTATTAAAGCCTTCTTTATCACTTCTTCTCATATGTATCTTTGGTTTTGTCAACTTAAGGAATGGAAACCATAAACATCTACGTCAGAGAAGTCCGTGATGACGACACCATCATACCAATCCTGGAGACTCCTGCCGTACTGAGCATCGAAGTCCTGTCTGTCAACGATTACCCAGAGTTCTCTGTTCAGATTGGTGGACAGATGCTACTGGTTAGAGAAAACAACACAATTGAGGTGAGAAAAAGAATTTTTTTTTATTTTTTATTTTCAAATATATATCAGGTTAATGTTGTGATACATTGATACTTCATCCCATGAATAGAATTATAGGTCACCCTTAGGCCCTTCTGTTTTCGATGACTGCACTATGAGTTTGTGTGTATGTTCTGGATGGAGTACATGTAGGTTGACAGCAGGTGGGTGGGGACGATTAGCAGGCAGGATGAAAGACGAAGGCCATTAAGGTCAGATCCAGAAATGGGGTGAACAGCCAGCAGGAATTGCATGGAGGTCAACATATGGGGGAATTCAGGAAGCCGAGAACTACAAATTACCAGCAACCTACATGTACAACCCTGTATAGTTTTTGTCCAATTCCCAATTCAAGTACATCATACAATCTCTTCGGTTGTTCCAATAAATTAATGAAAACCCAAAAACCTTCCCCTTGGATTATGCAGTTGTGATAAGCACTCCACCTATAGTAACTTATTAATTAAAGCCTATTACATAGGCCTGAATTTTATTGACATTACACTGCTGTTATTCTTTAGGCACCGGTTGAGCAGAACATTGGCACAAACATCATGTACGAGCCGTATCAGATCGTGGTGTCTGTGTGGGACCCGGACGTTGGAGAGACTCTCCTGATTGATCAGTACAACGCCACCTTCGGGACAGCTCACATAACCCTTCTGGAACCCGAACCTTCGGGTAAGTTTTATTGTTGATTTATTCATGTATGTCACAATTGCGCTACGTTTGGGAATGCATTGTTAACAGTAAAAACTAGCTTAAGTGCACTGTGCACCAAGTAACATCTAGTGTCAGTGCATAGCAAACCAGTCAGAATTGCCCTGATGAAGATGACAGACGGTTATCGAACCATCGGCTACTAAACAAGTGCTTCTGCAAAAGCTGACCATTTTCGCCGCTTACAGGCTTACAGTTTTTACAAACATTTTCCCCATCCTATCATTTCAATTTACCTAAGTTATATAAATGGTTCTAGTTCTCATCAACATTGTATATAATGAGAGAACATGCACTTCTATATTTCAACTCTTTAAGTTTAAAACATTACAAAAATCAAGTATATAACAGTTTATAACCTGTTTTCTCTCTTTTAAGAGTCTTTTTAACAGAATAAAAAAATGAGACACAAAAGTACATTTTAACTTAAATTATAAGTAACGTTAATATATATATATATAATTTTATTCAAAATCTCTTCTATGGCTTTGTCCCCAACATCTAAGTTTACAAACCTCGTGACATTCAAGTTCCAGGGCTTTAGCCAGCGCCCGTTTTACCGTCAATTGACGGTATTTTTCCCGTCGGACGGTAAAAATTTAAGTCCTTACCGTCAACATTGACGGTCAAAAATCGTGGGTGAAGACATTAAACTTAGCAAAAAATGTAGCGAATTTGAATGAGCCACGGCGCGGGGTCTTTCCAAAGCGCGTCGCGTCTTTTCAAAACGCCGCGGGCCCACACATTTCTTATTTAAATACGGCGGAAAACCTGACTTCAAGGAACGTGCCGATGTCTGTTAACTCGGTTCTTTTCTTCAATGTTGCTGTCTGTTTAAACAACATGTGCTAACGGCCACATAAGAACAATGGCTCGACTCAGACTCACGCTGGTAACTGTACATGACAATAAGATAAATAAACAACATGTGGCAACGAACAAAGAAATATCAAACGTTTTGAAAATATACTGTACTTGAATTTTCACACCATCGCAAGAAAACGGAGATCGATCTACGCAAAGTGGCTTTATTATTTATATAAACTTCGTTAAACCACCTTCGAAGACTTGAGCGGCAGCATAAAGATAAATTTTCTGGAGCCGATCGCTGAAGCAAGTTTTTGCCGGCGTACGTAACTCCCTCCGCGGCAAAATCCCATATGCCGTAGCGAAATCGCGTCTCAGCACTTCCCCAAATCAACTCCATGGCCGCTAAAGTCTGCAAATGAGGTTAAACTTCCTCATTTCGGTGAGAAGCGAAGCTACTAGTATAAAATCATGTGCATGGCGGCCATTTTGTTGCTACCCGAAGTCTTCCGAATGATCTAAATAAGGAAATCGTCGGAAAATCTGAGCCACATCCCTCGCTGTCGGCATGCGCTCGGGGCTGGCTCGGTGGAAATCGGAGGCTGTGGCGTCAGGACTAGGTTTATTTGCATGGCTCGGGAAGCCGCCGCGGCTTGAATCGCAGCGGGATTTGGGCGCCGGGCGGGTCAAACAAAGGGAATATGAAGTTGTGAGGACCATAGTTTTTTTTTCATTCTTCAAATTGCAGATTGTGTAATTTTTATCCTGAAATCTTGAAAATCTATCTGCAAATTGCAGACTGAAGACGGGTATTTAGAACACTGAATACATGAAGTGTGCGGGGGGCATGATGTCGATCACCGGATCATGATTTTTTTTCGCGTTGACCCTGATTCAACCCTAAAATAATACTCGAAGAGAACTTCAAAAGTCATCTTTTACTAATCATATATAATTGTTTACATTATATCATTTGATCAACCTGATCTATTAAAAATTGTCAATGGAAAATACCTTGCCTAACAATGCAATACCTATTTAAGTTAATTAAACACTCACTCATTAATTAATTAATTTCCTAAAATACAAAAGACATGTTGGTGAAAGTTAGGCACCCAGGTAATATCAATAGTTCCACGGACAGCTATGTAGGCCGGAGCTTCTATTGCGTGCGATCTACGTTTGGTCAGAAAATACACCCCCCCCCAACCACACACACACACAAACACCGATCCGGGAACGCCTGAAAAGGAGGCTTTTAATAAGCTTTGCCTGCAGCGCCTTGATTGGTCGGACGTGTGACCCTCTGGACTGCCGGCTAATGGAAATCTGAACATCTAGACTAATCCACACTGCTAATGCTCATTGACATAATTTATGCAGTTTATTAAAATCCTTGATTACTGTGAATCCTTGATTATAGACATGTCTTTATCAACATTTTTGGCAAATAATAAAATCAAGTTATTGTTCAAGACAAATTAAGTTTGTTTTGTCAGCAGCTTTGTTATGCAACATTAATAGAACTATGATTTTGAAATTAGCAACCATAATGGAAAGTATACAAACGTCCAAGGCATAAATGGTAAAAAGTGCACTCGCAACAACGACATCTAGCGACATGCGGCAACTCAGCATGTCTGCATGGCCGTCGCAACAACGACATCTAGCGACATGCGGTGACTTAGCATGTCTGCATGGCCGTTGAAGGGTGGAACCGTTGATCCATCCATCCGTTGATCCAATCTCAATCTCGTCTGAGTTACCATTTTCGCGCATGCGAAAATGGTAAAAAAATGAATGGTTGTGATCAAATAACTTTGCTATTCATTCATTTATCGGATGAAATTTTTTACGAATTATATATTTAATATTGAGAAAGCTGGATAGCCCCATTCAGTTTGTAATAGTGGATTTCAAAGGAGGCCCAGCATATTATACAAGACCAAATTTGGAGTGGAGGTGAAATATTATAGAATAAATATTGCGATGTGTTGGTGAAGGGTTAGGTAAAAGTAGTCCCATTGCCATTTGAAGATGAAGAGGCAGTGGGTTGTTAATCAATGTGTGTATGGCATGATGCTGGAAGACATATCCCATCCCTCTCCTTCCACTGTCTTTTACCTCCCCAACCAAAGTCAGGTACCCATTTTACACCTGTTTGGGTTCCCACAAACTTCAGCTCGTGTGTTTATTGTTTATTACCTCCATGAAAAATGGAGGGATTGTTTTTGGCGTGTCTGTCTGTGTGTGTGTGTCTGTGTGTGTGTGTGTGTGTGTAATCTATTTAATCTGTGGCAGGCGGAACATCAACAGATACCAATTATGCAAATGATGACCTAATTTGCATAATTAATGTGAAAATTCTGTGAATCCTTATTGGTGAATGATGGGAATTTTATACCTCGTAACATGTGTAAGTTACTTAAAGGTTGGCATCGCTATGCATATATTATGTTAATGTAGAGGTTATTTGCATAATTAATGAGGACAAAGCAAGCCCATATTTCATGGAGGTATGAGATCTCAGAACTCTTGTTATTAGTTTTATCTGTCTTGACAGTTTTTTGTAGACTATAGGTTCATCAAATATAACTGTACAATAAATAGTCTCAAACAGGATACATTGTTATAGGCCTTTATCCATAACTTTGTTGAACGTCTTTGTTGGTTTTACAGAAATCCCTGCTGAGGGAAGCTATATCAAGGCTCTGATAACGTATGTGCCAGTAGAGAACTTCTACGGCCATGATGAGTTCATCCTGATCGGGATAGATGCAGCAGGGGCGTACTCAGAGCGTCTCATCTTCGATGTCTACATTCTACACATGCCATGTGTCAACAACGCCACCTGTAAAGGTACGTGTGTACTGCACCAGATCCCTAGATCTAGATCTAGGCTAGATCCCTAGCCTACTCTGGCTCTCTTGTATGGAACGCTCTTCCGCAGCATGTTAGAGCAGCACCTACTCTTGGCACCTTTAAAAGACTGCTAGTATCGTAACTGACTTTGACTGAACGATTTTGGACACAACGACTTATGAGTTATTTATTAGTTATTGCCATTTTGTTTATTTATTTACTTTGTATGGGTTACCTTATGTATATGTGTTCATTTGTGAATAAGTAGTATTTATGTTATGACCCCCTGACACTCCTCCACGCTCGACCTCTATGAAAAGCGGCCGAAATAGCGGCCGATTAGAGCATGTAACACAGTTACAGATCGAGTTGAAATAAAGGCTCAAACAAACAAACAAACAAACAAGCACCAAACATCTACGAATTAAACGTATATTACAAGTGGCTCTTGATGTAAAGTTTAGCTTGTTCATATAGCTCTGTCCAAGGTGCTGATTAATGAGTTATAATTTTCCTTTAACCTGATGGACTAAGCCAGATGCTTTATGTTTTCTAGCAGTACAATATAGCATTGCTATGACTCACGTTTATAGCTAGGCACACTGGTTCACTCTTACTCTTCTTGATAAGTGTGTTGGGTTCTTTTACATGCAGAGGTTTGACACAAGAAGCTCTCTCATACACGATGCCATCGGCTTTACGTCCCCATCCAAAAGCACAACATACTAGTACTCTTTCTGTGTTGTATAGATCACTACTATCCAGTAGTGCACTGCAAAGGCCTAACACTATAATACAAGGTGCCTAGCATGTGGCATCTATGGAAACACAAGCAAACATACACAGACACACATAAACCAAAACCTCTGTATACATACAAGTAGGAAATATTATTTTATGAGAATACAACGTTAAAATGCAATTATTCTAAAACTGCAGGAATTGAGGATGACTGGAACTGTACGCACACCAAACGTGCGGATGGATATGATGGGTATGAGTGTGAGTGTCTCCCCGGCTGGGTGGGCCGCTACTGTGAGACGGACTTTGACGAGTGTGTGTCCAACCCTTGTCCGTGGCCAAAGGAGTGCATCGATGAGCTTGACAACTACAAGTATGTCTCACTTAATTACAAGATTCTACTGTTGAGAATATTTGCTGGAATGCTACAAAATATAGTTACCATAAGTCGTGAAATATTTAGTGCAGTGCCACACTATCCTTTTACCACAAATTCAAAAAAAGTTTAACATTTAAGTATTCTGCTTTGTCTTGCAATTCATTACTACAGTAACTATCATGGTTTCAGCTGCAAATTTGAATCCTCATCTTACTTTTCATAAGCCAAGATTGAGATAGTTAGCGATAAAGTAATTATGTGATTTTGCATTTGGTTGACAGAATCTGGTACCTACAAAAAGACTATAACTAGAACATACTTGGTCAAATGAAAGTGTTCGCCAATTCAACAAAGTTGTTTAGTTGGAGAATGGTTTAATTCCTTCCATTCTAATCTTTTATTAACTCCGATAAACTTTCATGCTATACCAAAGGCTTGTGGGGCGTATTAAGAAAATTGATGTCACCTATTGGATAACTATTTGATTGAATTATCTGTGGGGTCATGTGGCGTAGCGGCAGCGTGCTCGACTGGGAACCAAGAGGTCCCTGGTCCAAGTCCTGACATGCCACCGATCTTGTGCCCTTGGGAAAGGCACTTAACATGACTTTCCTTACTTAACTTAGTGAAAATGAGTATTCGTTCTCTGTTAGTGGCGGCATAAAATAAGTTGATATAACTTGATCAATTGAGTGTGCTGTCACCATGTCTAGTCATGAAATGTTGGAATATTAAAAAAAATTATCTACCAGGTGCCAGTGTCCAGACTGGAACCCTAACTGTGACGGTCTGCAGCCGTGGGAGATAGCGCTCATCTTCTCATGTATCCTGGCAGTCATCATTGTTGGAGTCATCATCTGGAGAGTCAGATATCTCAGGTTTGTATCGTACAATTACTCATCTTGAAATCTTAAACTTAACACTGTTTTAAAACATGATTCTGGTCGATCATATCTTCGGATAATTTCAAACCGTCATTAATATTATCACATGTAATTACTGTTAATCAATGTACTTTGTAAAGTTTTAAAGCTTTTGTTAAGTGTCATTTTAAATGTTTTCTTGGTTGGGCACTCAGTCGGGGGCTACAATGTAATTATGTATTATACTAAGTAGGTCTCATAAAACAAGTGCCAAAATTTGCATGATTATAATAATAATAATATGTATGTTGGTATTTAATGATTTAAGCATTATTTGTCATCTCTATATAACAAACACTGTGACTATTTTCCCCAAGTAGATTGAGTGCTCACAACAGGCATGTTTGACTGTTTTGTGCATTGTTTTAAAAGAACTGCAGATATTGATACTGTTACCACAGATTATCTCTACAAACTGAACTATAAATATCCAACACAGGAAACAAAGAGTCCAGAAAATCAGTGACTCCATGAAGGACCTCCGTGCGGAGGAGGATGAAGCTAGAGAGGAGAAGCCTGAGTCCTTGCCTAAGAGACTGCCGCCGATCAAGATGCAGCTTCCTGATGAAGAAGGAGGTAACGGAAATACATCGTCTTTCTTGAGGCCAATCTTGAGGCCATTACCCGTATAATGAAAATTAAACTAGAGAACAAGATAGATCCCACCGATGGCACCATGTTTTGTTCTGAAGTGGTTATCACATGAAGGAGACCAACTCTGATACGTTTGTTGTTGACTTTATGACTTTTTAGAAAGTATTTAGTGATCTATGAACTTTCTGAGCATCTCAGGGGACAATCATAATTGCCTGATTAGTACTATCCAACCCGGGTTAGGTTACAGTAGGAATTGCCTAATGAGTATTGTTCAGCTCAGTTATATTAAATAAGTGACAATTCCTAACGTAGTGCATCTGAACAAGGGTTTCGGAACGTGCCAGTACATGAAGGGGTATCAGAACATTTGGATACCCCTTATAGATATAGCTAAATTGACCTCATTGGTTGATTGGATGATCAGTGTTATGTTTCTGGAATCTCCAGCCTTCGTCATGGAGCCGAGACGAACCCTCCTGCCGCCCATCGGCAAGCCTCCGCCGCCTGTCCAGATGAAGGTGAGAGATCCAGCTGTCAAGTTCAGCCCCAGACGCAACTCCGTCGAGCCCCTCCAAGGCAGTGCAGATACTGCCGGGATAGCGATGACCATGCCTTCTATCGGGGAGCCATACCCTGCCCCCGCAGGCACCTCGAAGGGCTCCAAGTCCGCTTCCCCGACGGAGAGGTCTCCTCGGTCCAGTCGGAACGGGAGCTGGGTGTCCATGCACGACGACCTTGCTGACAGGATGTCGCCCATACAGAGGTCACTGGGCAGCGCCTCTTCCAGCAACCCCATGCTGACTGCAGACGACAGCCCGAGCACCTCCTCTGCTGACGTGCAGGACAACAGCCGGAAGACCTCGCCAGCGTCGGCGGGAAGTCGCCGCTCCAGCAAGGCCATGCTGATTGCTGAACCCGCTGAGAACGTGCGGCGCAAGTCTGCGGAAGATCTGCAGAGCAGGAAGAGCTCGGCGGCTTCACGCAGGTCCTCTGTTGACGCAGTGAGCGCGAGCAGGAAGAGCTCGGCTTCGCGAAAATCCGTCGGCAGTCTGCAGTTTACCAACCCTGCCTTCGAACCTGACGAGCCGCCAGGACAACTGCCAGGCTCCCCGACTGACGACAACGTAACATCCGCAAAGAGCAGCTCCCCTCCCCCAGCCCAGGACATGAGGATGGAGAGTACCATGAGTGAGGTGTCCCTGCATACCCCACGGGGAGCCTCTCCAGTGGACCCGGACAATGGTAAGGTCATCTCGGTCTAAGCTTTGAACATCAACACAAACTGTTAAGGATCACAAAGGGGTTACAAAGTTTGGCGCAAACTCGATGAAAATTTCACAAAAAGTCAAAACAGTTTGGTTTAACGGAAGTAAAAAAATGCCTTGAAAATACTTCTTTTCTTTTAAAAGTGAAAATAGTAATCGTAATTTGTGTAAAATTGATTCACTTGGTCTTGTTGAGGCCTGGGTATCATCCTTGTTAGTTTCACGTCTGCGCTGAAAGTTTGCCGGGAACAACTATTGGGGCAGACGTAGAACTAACCAGGATGGCACCTAGGCTACCCCTTTAATACCCTTTTAAAACAAAGCTTCAGCTTTCTTTGTGTGTTATACGGTAAATAACTTGTATTGCCTTGATGTCCCAATGTACCCTGTTTAGGTGGCAGGCAATCTGCTATGAGTGACAGAGCCATGTCACCAGATGACATGGAGAAGGGAACTGCCGGCGTTGATACGTACGAAGACGAAGTGTTCGAGGAAGACGACGAATCAGATACCGAGTTATAAAGGGTTTTGGGAAAAGAGATTAGGGTAACGAGACACTTGCCTTTCGAGTGATCCCAATGGTGAACTAATGATGAACTAATTATCTACCCCCCTCCCACCCCCATAGCAGTAGCCCTGAAACTCTAACCAATCAAAAATTGCATAGTAACCTACCATATGTGTGTTGTCACCTTGTATTTGATTGATAGATTTTAAATTCAGTAACCAATCATGATCACAAGTAAGGTGCCTTTTGTGTGTGCAGTGATCTCACCTCTTATACATACATGTAGCTCTCACTTTGAAGTCTTGAACCTGGACCCATTCACATATGCTTTAATTGATATTAATTATCATAATTTTCAAGCGGATGTAGGGCTCTGATCAGTCATTAATACATGTGCATGATTTAAGGCTTTTCATACCTCTTTTCAGAGGTCTGAGTTTGTTTTAGAGTACAAAAAAGTACACGGCTGAAAAGATGTACTAAATGGTGCCAAAACATTATAACTTACTCAGCCCAAACCAACATCTGCTTGGAGATTATACAAATTACACAGTAACCTGTACCCTCAGTTCTTTTACTTGCATTTTTTCATCATGTCATGGTTAGTTCTTTAACTGATTTGAAAGTCCGAAAAGTTTTTTATGACTTTTATCTCTTTTTAAAAATTATGCGTCCTTTCTTTTTCACCACAACGCTCTGTGCTTACTTTGATTTTTATACCTTTCAATATCATGAAGCAACGGTTCAATCATTAAGTATTTGATGAATAGATATCAACGCACCTCAAAACCAAAAAAAGGTGCTAAAACGAAACCCAAAAAAAAAAAAGAATTTTCATCATACATCTATGTTTACAACGAGTTTAGCATTGCTCCGACAAAAGATAAAGAAATAAGCATGATTTATATATTCAGAGGACAAAAGTCATTAAGAAACCTGGTGGTAACAAGTTTGCAGTGATTGAATTATTGATTGAATTTGCAATCATCAACACATCATCAGCACATTATCATCATCATCATCATCATGACCATCATTTACTTGTATTGTACATGCATTTACTTTTGCTGTGGTTTTATTTTCATTATTTTATAGTGTCGTCTTATGCAAAATTATGACATCATAAATATGTATTTTATATATCTATTGAACTGAAGGATTGACTCAGTGAACTTCAAACACCGCAAAAATGTTTTCTTCTAGCCTCATGCTGCAAAATATAACTACAGCAAAAATAAATGCATTTATAGTACTTGATGTCTCTTTTTCATTTTGTGACATGTAAACAGAACAGATTGCATGTATATGTTTTTTGGACATGATACAGAGTAAAATTAACGTTGTACTCTCTTTTTATCTTTCCAGGAATTGACACCAACCACATTCCAAGCCCGTTTGCCGTTCCAGAGTCCAAAATCGCCAACCTTCCCCGCTCGCCAGGACACAGTGGAGCAAACACTCCGCTAACCAACTGGTAAAACTGTGTTCCGGAAGAAAACACCAAAAACAAGAAATTCGAGATTTGAAACTTCCAGAAAGTAGCTATAGTTTGCGTCGTAGAATGTATCATTACTCACATGATTTTATGATAAAATTCACTCCGCTAATACGCCATGGTTTACGTTTCACACATTTTTGACGACCACATCTTTGAACACAAGACATACCTGGTCAAACCCTGACAATCAAGTGAAACCAATCTCCTCCCACCCACGTCAGAACCAAACGTCAAAACCTAACTTAAACTAGTACCATATAACACAGTGCCTGTGTCCAAGGACATTATATATTTAGATACTCGCTGGGAGGCCCATTATCGAACTTGACCTTCCTTTTTGCGACCCCTACCTGTCCAATGTCCTTGGTCTGTCCTAGAAATAATCCCAAATTTTAAAGCAAAGATGTACACGTTCTGGAAGTGCGTTGTGTGTTTTTGGGGACAATATGTTGACACTAGGATTGCTGAGTGCTTGTACGAAATGTTTTGCGCCCTTTTGAATTATAGATTGAGTGTTCTCTAAAACATTATTCATACGTATACATACAGCAACTATCTTGCAGTAAACTCTGGAGTGGTTATTGATAACTTGCATTATTTGATCTGGTTTTGGAAACTCTTGAACTAGTCCACAGTTTGAAACTGAAGATTCTCCATCTAGAATACTTAAACTTTGATGTTTTTCATGTATCAAATATCACACAAAGTATGCAGTGAATTTGTAACTAAACAATATAACCGTTACGTTATTTGCATGCCAACTTAGCCAGACAGAAAGTGAACAGCCACTTAGCCACTTGCCGTTGTATCCAGATTATATTCTGTATCAGGGATTGATCTATATAACACCATTGTGCTGCTATATCTATCCAATGGTTCTTTCTCTTCCAAAATCACCTCATACTCTTAACATGTAACACATTATTGTTTACATACGCAAGATGACTTGCGTCCGATATGGTCAAAAGTACATTACAAACACTACCATTCAATTGCCAATAATGTTCTTTACTCTTAATGATATAAGACATCAATTTAATCTCCAATTCACCCGCTTCATTTTTTTCTGATTTGCAAAATTAATCTCGGATTCGCCTGCTTCATTTGTTTATTAGAACAAAAAAGAAAATAGAACATTCATGTTCTGAATTAATTATAAACTCCAAAAATGCCCATATTTTGACCCCAACAGATGAAGAAAGTCCTTGCCTTCCTTTTTTCACCCTGTCGCTTCATATATTTTCTAGAAAAATCCGAGAAACAATAAATTAAATTGGCGTGGCCAAACAATTTTTAAAATTTCTGTTTCTTATAGGGTTTTCAACATATAACTTGCGACTTAACATTTACAATTTATATCAATTAAATGTTATCAAAGTGAGATATACTAAACCATTTAAACAGGTGAAAGTCTCCAACCTTGATTTTGACGTTCCTTATTCTTGAATCCTTGACTTCTTCACGAACATTCCATAGATGCTCTTTATGCCTCTTTGGCCTACCTCATCTTAAGAGTTATTTTCTTTACAATAGAAGAATATTTAACCAAGAAAAGTTTTAAAGTGTTGTTACATTTTACTTTTGTATTTAGACCACGTATTAGTGACTTGTGTCGTGTTTTGTTTTTTTATTATGAAAGTGTTTGTGTTGAATAAAGTCTTTATGTATTCCTTTTTGTGTGAATTGACTAAATTGTATCATGGATTATATCATGAAATATATATTATATTCTCCACCTAATGACGGTCTTATCTAAACAAAGGCCATTCTAGCTTTGTTGTCATTTACATGTACTCATCAGTTGGATATGATTTTGGAATGCTGCTGAGGAGACTGGGGACTACTTGACGCAGGCTAGTCATGAAAAGATTAGAAGACCTCAAGAAGTACCAGGTAGGTAAGGACAAAAGATACAAAAACGAAAGTTCTGCTATAGTACCATGCTGAGCTACCAGGAGGTCCAAACCCTGACCTTTGCAATTGCGTTACTATGACCTACCCACTTACAAAATATCATTGCAATCCCAAAATGCCTTACGTTATGCTGACCACAACTATGAGGAAACACACACAGACCAAAACAATACCTCCATTTTCATGTAGGTAAAATGCTTCAGTAAGTATAAATCATATTAGGCGCTTTTTATCTTTAAGTGATTATGCTAGCTGAATGACAAAAACGCAGGTGGACTTCATCTCAGTTGAAAATCTAGTCATCCTGTTTTGGCGGGCGGATGAAGGTGTCTTCTCCAACAAGGGTCGACTCCCAGCGCTCGTCGGCCTTTTTAACTTCAGATCGGAGAATCCAGGTAGTCTGCAGCACGTACTTGTCTTCCTCCTCAGTGCCTCTCTCCTCGGTGTCTTCCTTCTTAACATACTGGGCTGAATGGGCAGGGTTTTGCGTTCAATGAAATATCTTATCAAACGAGGTCTTATGTCAATGTCAACAATGCAAACATTGGCACATTATGATAGATGGTTGTTGGCAATGATACCTGTTATACATGTTTTGTACATATATATA